TTGAGAAGATTTTCATGTGTTAAAAAGTCATCTTATACGCTGGAAAATATGGTAATAACAAGGGAATAGACGTGCAGCATATGATGTGTTCCCAAGGAGAAAAAGGCAAATTAATAGCTAACCAGGAATGTGTTAATCTGAGACTACATAGGTTTAGATAGGATCATAGGAACATATTTGGAACTTATTTTGGCCCTGTCGTGCAGGAGAATTCACTAGAAAAATCAATTTTGTTGGGAAGATTGTGGTAAAAGGAAACCAGGCAGCCAAAGAACACAATGGCTGGACACCATCAAAGCTGACTTCAGCCATAGCATAGAACAACTCAAAGAAGTAATGCAAGAACTGAATGGTTTTTTTTTTTTTTTGCCATGGTTGTTAAGTGAATCACTGCAATTGTTCAATGGTGGTTATGCAAATCCAGCTTCCTCCATTGACTTTGCTTGTCGGAAGCTGGCTGGGAAGGGTGCAATTGGTGATGTTATCCAAATACATGCCCATTGCCAAGCACCCAAACTGGGATTGCTGTCGCTAAGCGATACAGTCATAAAGCATGATGTTACATGCCCACATCTCTTAGCAATGACAACTCCTGGCATTGTAAACCCAAGACATATGGGGTTCTTAAAGTAGGTGCTTGGAGGTCTTCTAGTCCAGCCCATTGCTCAAGCAAGAGAACGTATACCATCTCAGACATGTGACTGTCCAGTCTCTTTTTAAAAACCTCCATGATGGACCGCCCACGATTTCTGGAGGCAAGCTGTTCCACTGGTTAATTGTCCTCACTGTTAGGAAGTTTCTCCTTAATTCCAGGTTGCTTCTCTCTTTGATTAATTTTGCCTTCAGGTGCTTTGGAGAATAAATTGAACCCCCTCTTCTTTGGGCAGTAGGACTAGTCTCAGTAGACTGGAGAAAAGCGAAGATGAGTAAGTGGGAAGTGTGAGAGGCCCAGGCTTTTTAAGAGCTGAGAAGAAAGTGCAACTCCTGAGATTATGATCCTAGCATGGAGAACATGTAGGAGAAAGACTGTAGCAATCATGTCTGTAACAGGAAGAGGGAGAAAAACCCCTTCCTGAGAAAGGCCTGAGACTTCTGGTTCCAGGAGCAGAAACTAGAAGTCCCTGCACCAAGCACCTCCTGTGAGATCTTGAGCCTAGTTGCACAATATAGTAGGCTAACATGGAGCCTGGTGGTTCCTGATTTAGCATGTTATGGAAATCTGAATTAACCCACATTCTGGGTTTTCATAATGCACTGAGCGATAAATTGGGTCCTAGTCCAATGGGCCAGCTTTGCACAATATACTAAGATACAACAAGCCTCATACTAGGTACTAAACATATCCTGATGTATACAAATGTACCACTAGGTACTCCTCTGACTCTCTGAAGGGGTTTGTGCTTCCATGGAGCCTTGAAGTGGGTTGAGCCCACCCATCCTTCTTGTCCTGTATTCTGCTTTTGCTACATATCCATAGATATGGTTCAGTGGGTTTTCAGGAGCTCTGAAAACTCCATAAAATAGCAGGTCTGTTGCTCCTTTTTTCTTCCTCTAGCCTTGTTTAGCTTCTTAAAATCACCAAAATGCTACTTCCAGCTCCATCAGGTGTAGGGCAGGTAAAAATGCTGGCTCAAAGCTCCAAAAGGTTGAAAAGAACAGCCAGCAATAATTTTTAGTGAAACTGAACTCTCTTCAGAGGCCCAAGAAGAGATTCGAGTCCCTCTCTAGCAATTTCTTAGGGAGTCTAGGGACTGGCCTTATAATATAAAGCTGATTGAAAGAGCTATCTGAGCCATTTTATCTGCTAATTTCTCCTGCAGTGAAAGGGACACCATCAACCAATTTGGAAAAGTTACATCTCTGCAACAGCAGAAGACCTTAGAGGACTTTTTTGGTTAGTTTCCAGGAATTTGGAAAATAGTTTTGGTAAAATAAACAAGTTTTCTAGCTCTGTTCGAATGAGTTCTCTGTTTTTCGTGTTTACTTCCCTTCATTTCTTGCTTTTGATACTGCCTGCTTGTTAACCACTATGTTTTCTTGTGATTCTCCAAACAGAACGTATGTGACAAGAATGGGCCTGAAGAGAGACAAACATAACATTGAATAAAAGATACTAACAAGAGGAAGGAAACTTGGCAACACTGTGAGTGATATCTGGAGATATCTGGGGTTGGGAGGTTGGAAGTGGAAGCTCTTGATAGTGCTGTGACTATGTCCTTCAAGTGCACAAAAACGCTGAGTGCTTATAGGAGGGAAAAGCAATCCTATTTTAGAAGAGAAATCAATTGTTCTGGCTTGGTGGCTGAACATTAGGACTTTAAGATAACAGCCAGTTTGTGAATCATACTGAGAGAGCAAACAAGCTAGATAACCTAGGATGTAAAAATGGAAGTTTTGCTAAGGACAAAGTCAGATTTTTTTTAATCTGTTTTGGGATTTCAAAAGTGGTCTGTGGAAATCTGAATTTTTGGTTCCCCCTTTGCACTTTGAAACACTCCTGTGGATTTGTGCCATTTAACGAAAGCAGCAACATGTCACCAACCCACAATTTCCCTCCCAACAGTGTATAAATAATATTCCCAGGAGTGTTTAGCTTCACTTTCCAGGTAGGCCCTCGGAAGGCTCACATCTAAGAGGCAAGAGCTGCTGAAAAGGTAAGCCAAATCAGTGGAAATTTACTGATTGATAGCAGATAGATTAAATCTTTGGTATTAAGAAAATGATAATGATATAGAATAGGTGAATACTGTCTATGCTAACTGGGCACAGCTTTCCAGAATTTCAGAGGGTTTGCAAAGCGTCATTTAGAAAAATCTGGGCCTGAATGCATGGGGATATCTACTTCAGGAGTCCTTGGTGCTCTCTGAGCTTGCTTGTTTTCTTGCAGACGTTTCATTTATTTATTTATTTATTTATTTATTTATTTATTTATTCAATTTATATCCCGCCCTTCTCCTAGTGGACTCAGGGCGGTGCACAGCCAGAACTAAAACACATATCAATACAAAATTTAAAATTATTAAAAGAATTAAATAACTGTGGCCCAAAAATTTAAAACATTGAAAACTAAAACCCATTTGACAATTTAAAAAGCTAAAAAAGACTAAAAAGGGTGGTAGGTTTAGTGGTAGGTTTCAAATTTTTTTACTACCGGTTCTGTGGGCGTGGCTTGGTGGGCATGGCATGGCTTGGTGGGCATGGCATGGCTTGGTGGGCGTGGCTTGGTGGGCGTGGTAGGGGAAGGTTACTGCAAAATCCCCATTTCCTCCTGATCAGCTGGGACTTGGGAGGTAGAGAATAGATGGGGGCGGGGCCAGTCAGAATTTTTACTACCGGTTCTCCGAACTACTCAAAATTTCCGCTACCGGTTCTCCAGAACTGGTCAGAACCTGCTGAAACCCATCTCTGATTTCATTACCTTAACTAGGTATCTTCATCAGTGCTACTGTAGCACTGATGATGTTACCTAATTAGGGTAATGAAACATCTGCAAGAAAACAAGCTCAGAGACCCCTCATTTGAACTCTGAGCTGCAAATATTCTGCTTTTTTAACATCTACTTCAACCCTACCCTTATTTTTAGTAGGTCAAGTAATTGCAAAGATTTTACTTTATATTGTTCAGGTAGTCTTTGACTCAGAATAGTTCATTTAGTGCCCAAGGTCATGTGACCTCTTTTTGCCACTGTCTAACAAGCAAAATCAATGGGAAAGCAAGTTTCATTTAACGATCGGATTACTAATTTATCACTTGTTAAGCGAGTTTTGCCCCATTTTACAACAGAAATGTTGGGCTCAATTGTGGCGCTTAGTCGAGGAGTACGTGTATTTCATTGAATATACTGAAGATTCAATGAAGTTTTGGGCTTTGTCTGGACTGTAATGTAGTAGGTATATAACTCAAGCTCCAATTATTTCATTTCGATGACCTTGAGACATTCCGCAGGTACTTGAAATCTTGGGCTGACTTAAATCTCTTAGAAATGCAAACTCAGAGACCTAGCTAGAAATAATTTGGGAAACCACCAGATTCCAATCTTTCTAGGAAATAATCTCAGGAGATAATACAATTGTCTCTGACTTTTAGAAGTGGTCAGGTATGGAAGGATCATGAAAGGGAAGAACCAGTCATTCAGCAGACAGTACTTACAAATACAGTAACGTGGTATTCTGTGTAACCTTATCTGATGCTCCTTGGACATAATTAATGCACTTTAATCTGTATCTTGATTTTAATGCACAGGTTGTTAGGTGTGGCATGGGGAAGGGAAGAGTCAAGGAAAAAGATTTTTCTGACTCACCTTTCAGTAAAGACTGGAACGCCCTTCAGCTTTATTCCCAGATAAAGGCGACAATTTTCTGCACACTTAACCGATAAGGAAGCAACCTCCATTATCCAAAGCAGTGGATGGAGACAGGAGGGATATTATCTGAAAGAAAAATAAAAAGAAGCAAAGTTATGGGAAATAATTACAGAGTGGGTTATCATGGGCAATGTTGAGATTTACAACAGTAGAGGAGAGGCCAGTATGGCAGTCAGAGGAAAAAAGAGAAACCCTTTCTGAAAATGGAAATCACAAGTATTTTAGAAGTGCAAATCCTTCAACTGCTCAAGGGGGTGCTGAGCATTAAATGTCTGTATCCTGGGAAGAATTATGTCTGTTCTTTTTTGGTTGCAATGCCAAACCAGACAGTTATAGAGGTGCAGATGACAGACTCAATAATTCCTTTTCAGAACTGGATCAGTAGCTCCTTGGGCTGTCTGAGTTTTGTGAGTTGGCGCAGGAAGAACATTCTTTGTTGTCTCTTTTTGATGACATAGTATCCAGCAATTTTGCAAGAACCACTCACAACCCATCACTTGACACCTGATAATTATCTGACAGGTTTCATAATAGTTTACATGTATTGTTATCTAATGCAGGATTTTATCCAACGTAAAATACACTGAAAAAAAAAATTGTATACTTTCTTTTGCAGCTCCAACAGCACAACTTTCTAATGGATTCCCAACGTTCTTACGATTTGTTAGTGAAAGGCATTCAGTCCATCGATGTCACGGGAGATTTCAATCCATGTAAGCTTTTGCTCACAGGAGACCGAGCCCAGCCGGTGCTTAAGGATTCAAAGGGGCAAGTTCTCATAGCTGCAGCCCAATATGGGAAAGGACGGATGGTGGTCACTGCGCATGAAGCCATGTTAAAGCTTCCCCAGTTCTTGCTGTTCGTTAAAAATGCTCTGGATTGGCTCAAACCTTCCCCAACAGCAGTCGTCGGAGTCCACAGAAGACTGGATGACCTCTCCAAGTTGCTCCACTGTAGTGGTATTAAAGTGTGTCCCGATGCAACACTTGAGGACTCTCCTGGGGTCTTCTGCAGAGATGCCTATGATGATATGCAGGCTGATGATCTTGTGCAGTTCGTAAAGAGAGGTGGTGGACTGCTCATTGGTGGCCAGGCCTGGCACTGGTCATATCGCTATGGGGAGGAAGCAGTCCTTGATCATTTTCCTGGAAATCTGGTGACCAGTGTGGCTGGAGTGTATTTCACTGCCACTGTGGGAGAACATGGGATCTTTCCCATCTCTGAAATAATATGGAAGGATCCTGTTATCACCCAGTAAGTATAATGCTACCTCTTTATTTGCCTTTAATAATGCTGTCTGAGATTATATTGTTTACTCTGATCCTTATCCCAAGATTCTTGCACCTTTATGGATAAAAGAGGTAAAGGTTTCCCTGTCAATTATGTCTGACTCTAGGGCGTGGTGCTCATTTCCTTTTCCTGGCCGAGGGACCCAGCATTGTCCGAATATAATTTCCGCGATCATGTGGCCAGCATGGCTGTATGCCAAAGGCACATGGAATGCTGATGCTTTCCCATTGAAGTGGTACCTATTAATTTACTTGCATTTGCATGCTTTTGAACTGGGCAGGAGCTGGAGCAAAGAACGGGAGCTCACCCAGTTGTGCAGCACTCGGGTCTCTAACCCAAGTCAATTTTCCAGCTGACAAGCTCAGCGACTTTAACCACTAAATCAACACATCCCCTTCCTGTATTATTTTATGGATAATCCCCCACAAAGGCCGCACCCCATTATGGAAATGGCTATATAAAAATTATTTTAGCCCAATCCATTATCTTGGTTGGGCCCCCTGATTCACACAAGAATTGCACAACAGGGCTAGATTCAAAGTCTGAGTGCAGGGGGACCATGGGCCAGTTAAGACAGAGGATCAACAGCCATTGAAGCACTTTCAGGATAGATTCCCAACATTCTCATTTCCCACAATTTCCTCCAGCAAATTCAAAAAGAGGTATAATTTTAATACTCTAATCAGACACTCTTCTGTTAGTAAATAATTGCAGAATAGTCACTTTGGATTTCGATATCTGCTTTTTCTAAATGTGCCTCAGCAGACAAGGGTAGGGCACCATACTACCTCAGAAATAGGGTGTGTTTAGAGTTTTCTGTCACAAGAGCTTTCTCCAGTAAATGAAAAATTAAATCTGGAGGAGATATTTCTCTTTCTCTCTTTCAGATCAACAAATACCTCCATCAACAGCCAACATGCTTACAATTCTCTATTGCGAGGCATTCAGTCCATCGATGTGACAGGGGACTTCAATCCTTGTGAACTTTTGCTCACAGGAGACCAAGCCTTCCCAGTGCTTGTAGGTTTGAATGGGCAGATTCTGATTGCTGCAGCTCAATATGGGAAAGGCCGCATGGTGGTCACTGCCCATGAAGCCATGATACAGCTTTCCCAGTTCTTACCATTCATTAAAAATGCTCTGGAGTGGCTCAGGCATTCCCCAATGACACACATAGGTGTCCATAGAAGCCTGGATGCCCTCTCCAAGTTGCTCCTCAGTAATGGCATTAAAGTTGATCCAGATGCAACACTTGGGAACTCCCTTGGAGTATTCTGCAGAGATGCCTACGATAGTGCACAGGCTGATGACCTTGTGAAGTTTGTACAGAGAGGTGGGGGTCTGCTCATTGGTGGCCAAGCTTGGTACTGGTCATATCAACATGGGAAGGAGGCAGTCCTGGCTCAATTTCCTGGAAACCTAGTCACCAGTAAGGCTGGAGTGTATTTCACTGCCAAGGAGGGACAAAATGGGATCTTTTCTGTCCCTGAAAAAATAGGGAATGATCCCAGCACCACCCAGTAAGTATAATTCTACCTCTTAATCTGCCTTTAATAATCCTACCTGCAAATAATTTGTTTACTATGATTGTTGTCCCAAGATTCTCACATCTTTCAGCAAAGTCCCCAAAGCAAAATAAGAGCAAGGAAATGGCTATGCAGATAAAAATTATTTTAGCCTAATGATCTGTCATCTTAGTCAGGTCCTCCAATTCAGATATACATTTGCTGTGCCAAAGAATCTCACAACAGGGCTGGAATCAAAGCGTGATTGTAAGGGAACAGCATCCAGTTAAGACAAAGGATCAACTGCCACTGAAGTACTTTCAGTACAGATTCCCAACTTTTTTTTCTCATTTTCCTCCATTTCCTCTGCCAATTTCAAATACAGGTAACATTTGAACATTCTAATCAGATAGGCAGAGAAATCAAACCTCCTTGTGTGAATAAATAATTTCAGAATAGTTGCAGTGCCAATAAAGGAGACTATTTGTAGCTTAGTGTTGAAGGGTCCTTGGTGCTCTCTGAGTTTGCTGGTTTTCTTGCAGACGTTTCATTACCCGACCTAGGTAATGTTAGAATGCAGTATTGCAGGCTAATTCTGCTGATTGCCACGGGTTCAATTCTTACTGGTTCAAGGTTGACTCAGCATTCCATCTTTCTGAGGTTGGGAAAATGAGGACCCAGATTGTTGGGACAATAGGCTGACTCTGTAAACAGCTTAGAAAGGGCTGTAAAGCACTGTGAAGTGATATATAAGTTTAAGTGCTATTGTTATCCTCAGTGCTAGTTATAGTGTGCTATGATACTTGCTTTTTTCTAAATATGCTTCAGGAGACAAAAAAAGGTAGGACATTTTCAGATGTGTACCACAAAAGATTTCACTCTCTTTCTCTCTTTCAGACCAACAAATAGCCCGATCCATATCCAATATGATTACAGTTCTCTGTTGCAAGGCATTCAGTCCATCGATGTCACGGGAGATTTCCATCCTTGTGAACTTTTGCTCACAGGAGATCAACCCTTCCCACTACTTGTGAGTTCGAATGGGCAGGTTCTGATTGCTGCATCCCAATATGGGAAAGGCCGAATGGTGGTCACTGCCCATGAAGCCATGATACAGCTTCCCCAGTTCTTACCGTTTATTAAAAATGCTCTGGACTGGCTCAAGTCTTCTCCAATGGCTCTCATAGGAGTCCACAGAAGCCTGGATGCCCTCTCCAAATTGCTCCTCAGTAATGGAATTAAAGTTCATCCAGATGCAACACTTGAGGACTCTCCTGGGGTCTTCTGCAGAGATGCCTATGAGGATGTTCAGGCTGATGATCTTGTGAAGTTTGTGAAGAGAGGTGGTGGACTGCTCATTGGTGGCCAAGCTTGGCACTGGTCATCTGAACATGGGAAGGAGGCAGTCCTGGTTCGTTTTCCTGGAAACCTGGTGACCAGTGTGGCTGGAGTGTATTTCACTGGCAATGTGGGAGAAAATGGTGTTTTCTCTGTGCCTGAAAAAATTCCCAGGATTCCGCTCATCACTGAGTAAGTATTACTCCACTGCTTTTTTCTATGGTTATTAATCGTACATATAATAGTGGATTTTTTTGTGACCCTTGTCCCAATAATTCAAGGTTGTCCGTAATAGGTTGCCTCAGATTAAACAATTCTCTCATTCCAAAAATTATTTTTGAGAATTTTAGATCATATGCCATGGGCTTTTCAAATACGGTAACTGGGGAAAATACATCCAGCCATATTGATTTCCTTAATCATTTGATAGAAACCCAAGTGATGCATTTATTCTGGAACCATCTGTATAGATTCTTTAAATTCCACCTGAATAAAACCTATTCAAAATGTATATTTCTGTCAGAAATAGCAAACGTACTCTGCAAATGAGATAGTGTTTACAGCAGATAGCTCGTTAAGAGAACAGATTATTCTGATTTTATGGAAGATCTATAAGTCTTCCATCCAATTATTCCAAGGAAATTCTGTCAGCACACCTTGCCTTTAATTTGGGGAAAAAAGCTTTTAGGCTCATGACTTACAAAAACAACCTCTTCCTCCTCCCTCTCTCCCTCCAAGTGCTGATATTGATATAACAGTCCAATTTAGTCAAGCCACAGGTCCAATATTGAGATCCTAGTCCTTCATATGAAGACTATCCTACTCATGGAAAATATTATAAATTAATTACTGTTTTTTTTTAAAAAAATAATTTTTATTAAACAGTTTTTCTTAAAAAACAAAAAAAGAAATTTTTACAATTTTGTTCTTTTCAACAATTTCGCATCAGTAAACATTTCTTACATATCCATTTTTCTCCCTTACTTCAATTTGCCATTTATACATATACTGGTAATTCTAATATTGATTTATATACATAAAGATAACAGTGTATTCAATATCAATCATACATTCTGTTGTTGTTGTTTTTTTTGTTTTTTTTTTAAAGACATGGATTAGATATACAAAGGGATTTACTGATTCTTCTGAATGGAGTGGACAGATTCAATGTAAAGGGCGATGACCCCCACAGTCCACTGTTACCATCTCCCTTGCTTATCCATGGAGCCTTGGCATTTCCAGTTGGCATAAGTGATACCTACCACTCCTTCCTGGCAGCTGCATATTACGGTCGAGGACGCATTGTAGTTGCCTCTCATGAAGGCTTACTCAACATATCATCAATGAAATCTTTCCTCCTCAATGCCATCAGTTGGCTTTCTTCTAGAAAGGGAAGCAAGGTGGGCATTGGAGACAGCTTACAGGAACTTTACTCCATGCTAAACCAAGCAAAGATTCCCTGTGAGCTAACCAACTTTAAGGAAGGCCTAGGCATATACTGTTGTACAGCCTATGATGCCAAAGAGATGGGAAGCATCCATGAATTTGTCTCTGAAGGAGGAGGACTCCTAATTGGAGGTCAAGCTTGGTATTGGGCTTCTGTGAATCCCGATTCCAGTACTATTGCAGAATATCCAGGAAATAAGATCCTGAATAAGTTTGGAATTGGGATTGTTGGAAAATATATTGACATTCCTGAAAACAGCTGTCCTGTTGGAGAGGCCAATGAAATAGCTTCCACTTATCATTTCCGGAAAGCATTCTTGAAGTTCAAGGAACATATTCGAAATGAGCAGATTCTACAACCACCATATTCGTTGTGGCTCCAGAAGTTGGTGCAAGACATTGCGATATTCCTTGAGATCCCAACTATGAACTCCCGTCCTTTCTCTTCAGTTCATGAAGAAGCTCTAGAGTTGGTTCAGATTAAAGGGATTCCTGAGGTCAGTGAACATAACCCAATCCAAGCTAATTCAGATCAAGCCATCTTACTTCAAATACCTTCTGTGCTCTATAATGTTCTACCAGAGTTTCAAGGCTTAGTACCCAGCCTGATGCCAAATGATCCAAACTCTTATCCTACAGCACCTCCTCAAAACATTCAAGTTAACGGAAGCAATACAGGTAGGAAATTTTGTTCTTAATTTTGATATTTAATGGTTATTATTTCAGAGTAATGACCTATGTGTGCAGGACATTCTTTTTTATCAAGTAATATTAAGTACTGATTCAAATCTTTCATTAGGATGACATGCATGTAAATTAACCGAGAAAAGCTGTTTGATTTAAGGATAAAATATTAGCTAAATCTACAGGAAGATCCAAATGACCACATTAGTTATGCTATTTTGCAATTAGAGTTGATTTCAGAGAAGACATCCTTTCATTTTGATAACATAGTGTTTAGTGTATCCTTGACACAGCTACTAGCATAAAATCCCAAGAATGCAGACTTTTCAGTAATCTTATGTATACAAACATGAATCTCTGAAAGATTTTATACTTTGCTTTTAGGAAATGAAGCTTGGAGAAGCACTGGCATGTATGCTCCCCCAGCATCAACGGTCACTTTATTATTCCCAGCCTCCACCCTCAATGCAAAATTGCAGGTAATATTAGTTCTAAATTAGTCATCATGATATATAGTTAAGATTCTGCATGGCACTCTGTTTTAATTGGCCCCTGGGTTGTCTTTGGCTTCATCCTTTCTCCTTATTTGATTCTGAATTGATTCATGACTTTTTTCTTCTGAATTTTGGCTCCTTCTGAGGGAAATGGCTTGAAAAATGTTTCCCTCATTCCAGATCCTGAGGGAAGGGGGGAAAAACATCTCTCTCTCCTCAGATTCCTCAATTGCTGCTTCCTCTTCCATTGCTATTTCTCATCAGGGCTGCCTATCTCTTAATTTGCCTGTTTATTTGACTCCTGGCTTTGGCTTGGGTTATTCAGTCATATCCTCACAAGGCCTGTGACAGAAGAGCTCCAGGCAGCCATCTTGTCTTCCATCCTTCTAGCCTCAGGCCCAGCACTTCTGTTTGATTGGCCACTGGCTCATCTTTGGCTTCATCTTTTCTCCTTATTTGGTCCTGGCTTATTTGGCTTCTTGATTCTTCTCTTCTTATCAATCTTAGTTCTATCTGAGGGAAATGGCTTGAAAAAAATGTTTCCTTCATGCCAGATCCTGAAGGAAGGGTGGGTGGGTGAGTGGGAGAAACACCACTCTCTCCTCAGATTCCTCAGTTGCAGCCTCCTTCCTGATTGCCTTTCCTCACCAGGGCAATCTATTTTTTTAATTTGCCTCTTTATTTGGCTCCTGGGCTGTGGCTCTGTTTATTCAGCCTCTTCTTCATGAGTCCTTTGGCTGACATCTCCCAGGCAGCCATCTTGTCTTCCTTCCCTAAAATGATTCTGTTTGATTGGTCACTGCTGTTTGATTGGCAGCTGGGTCATTTGACAATGGGGGAGGGCTGAGAAGGAGCACAGGTGCTTCTCACCTGCTCAGGTAGCCTGTCCTTTCATAGGCCTTAAATAAAGAAACAAACGATGCCCTCCATCCTAAAAGCACTTAAACTCTTTCCCAATGTTTTTCATTTCAGAAATATACTTGGAAGTGTTCAAATACAAGAAAAAGACTATTATTTATTAGAATTACATTCTGTATATGTATATTTATATATTTAGATATAGTTTATATTTTATATTAAATATACCCAGTATTAGTGTAATAAACTACAGGACTATTTGTATTGTTATAGAATATATAATATAGTAATCCGGTAACTTAGTATTTAGTATGAATATAGTAGAATTGAATTACACGTATAAATCTTATATATAATTTATCATTGATATCAGTGTTTCTTAGCCTTGAAGACTTTAAAATGTGTGGGCTTCAACTCCCAGAATTCCCCAGCCAGTCATGCTGAGGAATCCTGGAGGGTTAAATCCACACTTTAAGGTTGATAAGGTTGAGAAATCCTGATTTATTTACCAATCAGAATCAGAGTTAAGGGGCTGCCACAAAAAAGAAGGGGTTGACCTATTCTCCAAAGCATCTGAAAGCATTACAGGCAAGCAATGGATCAAGACTAATAAAGGTGAAAACCAGCCTAGATCTAAGGAATAATTTATTGACAGTTAGAACAATTAATCAAGAACGACTTGCCTCCAGAAGTTTTAGGTGCTTCAACCCTGGAGGTTTTAAAGAAAAGATTGGACAACAATTTGTCTGGGAAGACATTGGGTTTCCTCGTTGAGCTAGAGGACTTCCAAGGACCCTTCCAACTCTGTTATGCTGTTATTCAATTTTATAGATGCTTAAAACAGACACCACAACATAGCAATAGCACCTAGTCTATATACCATTGATAGTGCCTTTACAACCCTCTCTAAATGGTTTACAGAGTCAGCATATTGCTCCCAACAATTTGGATCCTCATTCTACTGACCTCAGAAGGATGGAATGCCCATCCAACCTTAGTTTTACTACAGGTAGTCCTCAACTTACGGCCACAACTGAGCCCAAAATTCCCATTGTTAAGCAAGACAGTTGTTAAGTGAGTTTTGCCCCATTTTACGACCTCTCTTGACACAGCTCTTAAGTGAATCCCTGCAGTTGTTAATTAGTTACATGGTTCTAAAGTGAATCCGGCTTCCTTATTGACTTTGCTTGTCAGTAGGTTGCCAAAGTGGGACCACATGACCCTGGGACACTGCAACGATCATGAATACATGCCTGTTGCCAAGCGTCTTAATTTTGATCACATGACCATGGGGATACTGCAACGGTTGTAAATGTGAAAAACAGTGATAAGTCAATTTTTTTTCAGTGCCGTGTTAACTTCAAACGGACGCTAAACTAATGGTTGTAAGTCAAAGACTACTTGTATGAAGCCATTTCTCTTTAGAATGACTTGTTCATTTCAATGGAGGTTCTTTTCCACAGGTGCAGATTGGGTGCCACACTGATAGTTTAGTTAATCTTCAGGAATGGAAGCGTCCTCCAGTAGTGACAAGGCGATTTAAGGTGCAGACTGAGAAGATGGAGATCTCCAGTTTGTGGGGAGGCCTCCTGTACATCATTGTACCAGAGAACTCTTCATTGGGCTACTTCTCTGTCACCATCGAAGGGGCCACCCAGGCTCCTTATTTCAAGCATGGTAACACAACTCCTTCCTCAATTTATGACGTTCAAAACTTTTCTACTTTGCTGGTTGGTTCTGATCTGGCTCCAACAGGCATTGAAGCTGACAAACTTTCTGGAGTCCATCTCCATTTAGAAACCAAGCAGAAAAATGGATACCCTTTCATATTTCAGAGAAATATTGCACACCAAGTATTTACAGGAAATAAGGTGCACCCACTGGATGTCTTCTGTTTAAATATCATCCTGAAATGGTAGTGGAGTCTAGAGAGGCTCATATTTAAAGTAGGAGGCTACAGAATATTGTATTCAAGGCCTTTGGAAACCTAATTATTATTATTTTATTTCTTTATGCAATTGTGTTTTAATAAAACTCAGTGCTCTGCAATGAAAGATCAGGAATAATGAAATCAATATATCTGGATATCTTGGAAAGTTCATTTTAATAATGGGTGATTCCTCACAATTCTAAACAATTGTTCTTTCTATGGTAAAAATGTTAGAAATTCTGTTTATATATAGCACCACAGAGCAAAGAGTATAGTCACCATGTGCTTTACTGCTCAGCTGTGCTACACAGTAACAGGAGACTCTGCTTAGAACAAAAGAGCAGAGAGTATATACCCGTGATGGCGAACCTATGGCACGCCTGCCACAGGTGGCACGCGGAGCCATATCGGTGGGCACGCGAGTATTGCCCTAGCTCAGCTCCAGGGTGCATGCATGCGCTGGCCAGTTGATTTTCGGGCCTTCCGGTCCTACCAGAAGCCAGGAAATGGGCCTTTTCCGGACTCCGGAGGGGGTGGAGAAGGCTGTTTTCACCCTCCCCAGGCTCCAAGAAAGCCTCTGGCACCTGGGGAGGGTGAAAAACAGGCCTACCATGCCATCGTGTGCCAAAAGTGGGGGGAGCGCAGGTGGGTTCACGCACACATGTGCGGGGGCGGGGTGCAATGAATTATGGGTGTGGGCACGCACATGCACAACCGCTTGCATTCCCCCCTCTTTTGGCACGCAATGGCAAAAAGGTTAGCCATCACTGGTATATACCATAGATCAAAAATTGTAAAAATGGCCATCTACTGGATGAATGCTACTGTAGTTGTTGCATAGAAATACATTCCAACAATGAATTCCAACAAAAAAAATCAACAACATTTTCCAGGACAATGGATGCAGCACAGATTTGCTAAAGAAAACCAGTGGAAAATAAGGGTGAAATCTCTGTACCTCTTTGCCTTTTCTTGGAATGTATCATTGGCCACACCTTTCAAAATATTTTGATCAGGAAAGCATTTTTCTTTCTCCAACCTATTTTTGCTTTAAGAAAATAATATACCCAAGTGTTCTGTTTTCAATGTTTCTATAGGTGAAACCAGCATCCAGGATTGGCAAGATATTATCCGCCACTATCCCGCTCCCTGGGCAGAACTTGAAACCGAAAATATCATCCTCACACTGCCATCGGATGCTATACGTAGTCATGATGGGATTGATTTCCTACTCCAGACGTGGGATCAGATGATGAGGGCCATCACCCAGTTAGCAGCCATCCCTTTTATTTTTCCCAGACCAGAGAGGATTGTGGCAGATGTTCAAATATCAGCAGGCAAGTATAAACTAGTTCACATCACACATTTTAGAGGAAAACCATAAAATATGATTGGTCTGTTCCTAATTTGTAAATCAAAATGTGTTTTAATAGAACTATTGTTCTAATGCTATGAGTGTCCCAATATTTATTTATTTAGCAGTGTCCCAATATTTAAGGGGCCCAAAGAAGAGGGAGTCAAGCACCCAAGGGTTGAACAAGATGTGATGGTTGGAAACTAATCAAGGAGAGAAGCAACCTAGAACTAAGGAGAAATTTTCTGACAGCAAGAACAATAAAACAGTGGAATGACTTGCCTCCTGAAATTGTGGATGCTCCATCACTGGAGGTTTTTAAGAAGAGATTGGATGGCCATTTGTTTGGACTGGTATAGGGCCGTGATGGCGAACCTATGGCATGGGTGCCACAGGTGGCACGTGGAGCCATATCGGTGGGCACGCAAGCTTAGGTCCGACACACATGCATACGCCAGCCAGCTGGTTTTCGGGCCTTCTGGGCCCACCAGAAGTCAGGAAACACACTGTTTCCGGCCTCTGGAGGGCCTCAGGGGTGGGTGGGTGGGGACGGCTGTTTTTGCCCTCCCCAGGCTCCTAGAAAGGCTCTGGAGCCTAGGGAGAGCAAAAAATGGGCCTACCGAGCCCATCGTGCCATCACGTGCCAAAAGTGGTGGTGGGGGGGCAGGGCGCATAGAATTATGGATGTGGGCATACGTGCGTGTGACCCCACCACGCTCCCCCCGCTTTTGGCACGCAGTGGCAAAAAGGTTAGCCATCACTGGTATAGGGTCTCTTGCTTGATCGGGGGGTTGGACGAGAAGACCTCCAAAGTCCCTTCCTATTATTCTGTTAATGCTGCAGTTTGCACCCCTCAGCAAACTGACAGGTGCACCATGGGATATTTCGCTGCTTAATAAATGGAATCATAAGGACTGTTTATTAAACTTTAGTAAATTATCTTACAGTTCACCTGTGGGTTCACCTTGGCTATGATTCCTATGGAAGAGTGTCCTCAAATCAGGGTTGATGTGGGAAAGAATTTCACTCTAAGGCTGAACCAATATTGTCTAGTCCTGTTCCCTGTTCACCTTTCAAACATAATACAGTATGGCAGGGGTACCCAACCCCTGGTTCATGGATTGTCACAGGGCCACGGCATACCAGAAACTGGGCCACACAAGTAAGCGATACTCCATCCGTGGGACGCAGGCAGCACACAAAACCACGTCTCCTCCGGTCCACATAAAAACCTCTCTCCATGGAACCAGTCCCTACTGCCCAAAAGATTGGGAGCCACTGCAATTCAGGACCTGGGATATAAAGGATTTCATCTTCCTCCAAGATATATCCACCCATCATTAAGATCATTTATTTTTACCCATACAAAAAAATTATATCCACACAATTTGCATAATCTTGGCTTTGGGCTGCACGCTTCAGATAAAAACTATAGTATTTTTACTAAGTTACTGTAGGCTCTTAATCCCATCAGGTGACATTGTGCCAAGAAGGGGGCCTGGATGATGCCTGTCCTGTGACAAAAGGTGGAAGGGCAGAAAATTATGGAAGCAAGAAGTCCCACAAAGAAACATAACGTCACTCAGGGACTTTTCTATTATAGGACTGGTACTCGACATCCTTCCTGAGCAAAATTCACTTTGTGTCCTTTAAATTAAACTCCTAAGGAAAATTTGAGGTGAACTTCTAGTTATCTCCATGGGGACATCCATGTTGTGTTGTTATAACAATACCAAAGTGGTTTGCTATGGCTTGCTTCTGAAATATTTACTCAACTTTTCAGGCTAACCTACAGACCCAGGATTTCCCATTAGCCTCTCATCTAATTGTATCCCTCCCAAATTTTTCCTTAGGTTGGTTGCACGCTGGCTATCCAGTCATGAGTAATGTGGGGGCCGTGCCTAGCATCATAGATGTGCAAGATTTCTACGCCAAAGGAACCTGGGGCCCAATCCACGAACTGGGTCACAACCAGCAGAAAAGTGGGTGGAATTTCCCACCCCATACCAAGGAAGCCACCTGCAACCTCTGGTCTGTTTACGTCAATGAGACCGTGCTGAGCATCTCCCGAGAAATAGCCCACTCAGAGCTTCAACCGCATGCAAGAAAGGAGAGAATTGAGAACTACATTAGAAATGGAGCTAATCTGAATGACTTTGAAATGTTCACTGCACTTGAACCCTATTTGCAGGTAAGAAAGCTGTTCATGGGAGGTCACTGGTGTAATACAGGTAGTCCTTGACTTACACCAGTTCGTTTAGTGACTATGGCATTGAAAAAAGTGACTTATAATTGTTTTTTACACTTATGATAGTTGTAGCATCCCCATGGTCCGTTGATGAAGATTCGGATGCTTGGCAACTGATTCATATTTATGAAGGTTGCCGTGTCCTGGGATCATGTGATCCTCTTTTGTGACCTTCTGATTAGCAAAGTCAATGGGGGAAGCCAGATTCACTTAACAACCATGTCACTGACTTAACAACTGCAGTGATTTACTTGTGGCAAGCAAAGTCAAAAAATGGGACAAAATTCACTTAAGGAATATTTCACTTAGCAACAGGAATCTGGGGCATAATTGTGGTCGTAAGTCAAAGACTACCTCGATGTAGGATTGTAGGGTTGGGGGGAAAATCTTTCTCAAAAAGGGGAAGAAAATGCTATCAGTTGAGGTCAATTCCTGCAATTGATTAAAAGTGTAAAAAATAGGTTTGTGACTTCTTTGTTTTTATACTGGTGGCCTTTGATACAAACAACATAAGGTCATTCAGTGTAAAATAATGTAGTAGCTGAGATATAGATCACGGATCTATGCAATTGCCCTATTTTTCTTCAGCTGCAGGAAGCCTTTGGTTGGGATTCCTACATTCACATTTTAGCGAAATACCAAACCATGAGCAACATCCCAGATGACAACCGATACAAGATGAACCTGTGGGCAGAAACCTTCTCTCAGGAAGTCAACAGAAACCTGGCTCCTTTCTTCAAAACCTGGGGGTGGCCCATTGAGGACAGTATCTCCGAGAATCTGGCCTTAATGTACCCCACCTGGGCAGAGGATCCCATGATACATTATCGGTTCTTTTGAAGGACCAGAATCCAAGATCATCCTCATCAGAGAACACTGGAATTGGGGAGATGTATTACTCAAAACTGAGTCTGATAATTTGAATGATTTTTTTTTTTTATTTAGCTGTTGCACATGGAGGATTTCCATGTGCAACACAAATCTCTTTCTTAGAGGACTGGTAAACTATTTGCTAGCAATATGAGGCCAAAAGTAAAGAGAACCTTATATTTTCATTATAATCTCCAATATTCTGTTAAATTTAGTTCCCAAATTGGCATTTCCTGTATTTTTCACAAAGAACTCTCTCTAATGATGCCACACATTTGAAATGATGATTATTAAGCTCTTTGTTGGTCTAAATAAAAATTGTGTATATTAAAAATATAACTGTTTGATCTTTCTCAGTGGCTTGTTCCCTCCGATTTACTTGATCTTTTCTGAATTGAGTGGATTCTGGGTTCCATCATGTTTGTTATTGTTAGTTGCGAAGTTGTGTCCGACCCATCACGACCCCATGGACAATGTTCCTCCAGGCCTTCCTGTCCTCTATCATCCTCTGGAGTCCATTTAAGCTCACGCCGACTTCTTCAGTGACTCCATCCAGCCACCTTGTTCTCTGCCGTCCCCTTCGTCTTTTGCTCTCCATCATTTCCAGTATTAGGCTCTTCTCCAGTGAGTCCTTCCTTCTCATTAGGTGGCCAAAGTATTTGAGTTTCATCTTCAGGATCTGACCTTCTCAAGAACAGTCAGGGTTGATCTCCTCTAGGACTGACCGGTTGGATCGCTTTGCAGCCCAAGGGACTCGCAGGAGTCTTCTCCAGCACCAGAGTTCAAAGCCCTCCATTCTTTGGCACTCAGCCTTCCTTATGGTCCAACTTTCACAGCCATACATTGGAACTGGGAAAACCTTGACGATACGCTTTTTTGTTGGCAGGATGATGTCTCTGCTTTTTAGTATGCTGTCTAGGTTTGCCATAGCTTTCCTCCAGTAGTGGGTTTCAAATCCCGTTGCTACCGGTTTGCTCATGGGCATATGCAGAAGCATCTGAGCAGGTGGGCGGAGCCTCCTGCCACCGCCGCTACAGGTTCACCCGAACCAGGGCAAACCGGTAGCAATCCACCACTGCTTTCCTCCCCAGGAGCAAACGTCTTTTAACTTCTTGGCTGTAGTCCCCATGTGCAGTGATCTTGGAGCCCAGGAAAATAAAATCTGTCACTACCTCCATTTCTTCCCCATCTACTTGCCAGGAATTGAGAGGGCCAGATGCCATGATCTATCATGTTACTTTACTCCCCCCCCCCCAGTTTCGGCTATTGTTTTGACTATGTCAGAAATAAATTTTTGAATGCTTTCTTCTTTATGATTTTAAAAAAACATGGAAACCCTATTTTATAAAAGGTTTAATTGTTCCAAAATGTCTCCGTGGGTGGCGGCCCTTGAATGAACTTCTCCAGGGTCAGAAACTAAGCAGGGTAATAAGAACAAGGATGGGAGACCACCAGCAAAGCCCAGGGCTGTGCAAATCTAGTCGATCAAATGACAATTCTGGAGCATGCTCTTTAAAAAAAGGTAAAAAATTCAAATGGCTAACAGGTGAAGAAGGTGAAGGGAATGCCCTCAAACCACCAGCTCTCTCCAGGGTTGAATCACATTCTTAAACCTCTGTGCTAATTGGCAGGTCTTAACTCTCTTCTGGAAAACCTTTGCATCCTTCAGTTAGTCACGTCTGGAGGGCAGACATTTTTTTTAGTTAAATACAGGAACAGAGTGTCATGTTCTTTCATAGCAACATGACAGCCAGGGTAGATGCCATATGGGCACAACCTAATAATGTTTGGGGGGTACCCATTGTCATTTTAGGGGTCCTGGTGGCTCAGTGTGTTGGTCATCTCCCTGTCAATAAGGAAATCATAAGTTGTCCTTGCAATTCAAAGCAACGGGCTGCACATGGAGAGGAAGTCGTGGGCCTGCGCCCTGAAGATGCATCTGACTGTGCAAAGTGGCATACAATGATCCGAAAAGCGGACCTTGAACCTGTGACAATACATTAGGAAGAAGAAGAAGAAGTGGTCAGAAGCTGAAGACTATCTGTACTCTTTGTGTCCATAGATCCAAAACTAGCGAAAGTATGCATGGAAGCCATCCCACACAACACACCCAACCCAGGGGTGAAATGTTCCCAGTTTGGACTGGATCGCCCGATCCGGTAGCGATGGTGGCGGGTGGTTCGGAGAACCGGTGGCAAAAATCCCTGCCCCCCCCCCCATGCCCAACTGAGCTGTGCGATCATCAGAGGCTTTTTTTAAATTTTTAAAAGCATTTTTTTTACAACCTCTTTGGCCGAAAAAAATGCTTTTAATAGTAAAAAAAAAAGCCTCTGATGATCGTGCGGCTCAGCTGGGATCATCAGAGGATTTTAAAAGCATTTTTTCTACAACCTCTTTGGCTGAAGAGGTTGTAGAAAAAAAGTTTTTAAAAGAAAAAAAAAGCCTCTGACGATCAGGCAACTCAGCTGGGATCATCAGAGGCTTTTAAAAGCATTTTTTTACAACCTCTTCGGCTGAAGAGGTTGTAGAAAAAATGGTTTTAAAAGTTAAAAAAAAGAGTTAGCCACGCCCACTCAGTCACATTACCCCCACCACCACGCCACGCCCAAAAAACCAATAGTAACAAATTTTACATTTCACCACTGACCCAACCTAAGTGCACTAAGATATGAGGTGAATTCAGCAAATCCTTACAGCATTTCTCTAATGAGGGCAAAAAAAGGGAAAATATGCATAACTCTTCCCTTTTCCTGACCCAGAATTTTTGAAATCACCTTCACAAATTAGTGACAGTCCCAAAAATTGCTTCTCGCAAAGGTTTCCACAAAGCTACAAAGCAAACAGTGAAAAAATGATTTTCAGTCTATCGCCAGGAAAACATCACAGTGCTGTCATGTCCTCCAGGAAATATTCGCTTTTAAAAACTCAGTTGTAAATGCTGGTATATCTGGGAGCTGTCCCGAGTTCTGATTTTAATCCCTGCCTGCTAATACGCTTCTTTCTATGTATGTAATAATTCTCTTTTGCACATAGCCGAGTAACCCGTCCTGTTCATTTCTCTTTCTGCTTGCATTCCCTACTACATGTTGCTGCAAAACCTATGGTACTTCATTGGCCTGCACAATCCTTGGAAAAACTATATTTTAGAGACCCCATACACCCACTGTTTCTGTTGCTCCCCTCTGAGAGGAGGTTTTGGAGTATTTCTAGCAGGACTACCAGATTCTGCAACAGCTTTGTTCCCTATATGCCATCTGTCTGGTAAACTCGCAAGATTCTTTTTTTCCCCCATGTGCATTTATTCAGATGGACTAGACTGTGTTGTTTCTCCATGTTATATAATATATGTGGGTATATACATAATTTTGTATTCAAGTATTTATTTTGTCATGTTTATGTTTACATACAGTAGAGTCCTTCAGGTTTCTAGGTTTTATCATATCTCAAGACTTAAAACGGACACCCAACATCAAAAACGTCATCAAAAAAGCACAACGAAGCATGTTCTTCCTGCGCCAACTCAGGAAGCTCAAACTGCCCAAGGAGCTGCTGATCCAGTTCTACAGAGGAATTATGGAGTCTGTCATCTGCACCTCCATAACTGTCTGGTTTGGCTCTGCAACCCAACAGGACAGACACGGACTTCAGAGGATAATTAAAACTGCAGAAAAAACAAGGGCTACCAACCTGCCTTCCATGGAGGACCTGTCTACTGCACGAGTCAAAAAGAGAGCTGGGAAAATATTTACAGACCCCTCGCATCCTGGACATGAACTGTTTTAACTCCTACCCTCAAAACGACGCTATAGAGCACTGCACACCAGAACAACTAGACACAAGAACAGTTTTTTCCCCAAACGCCATCACTCTGCTAAACAAATAATTTCCACAACACTGTTGTATGGTTCTGGTTCAAAGCCGGCTCAGTTAAAGCAACCAAAACAGATGCCACATGATTTCAATAGGCTTGATGGCCAGACCTGAGGAAAGACAGAACCATAATTTACAGACTTTTGGCCTGCTGCAATCAATCACTCACTCACTCACTCAATCAATCAATCAATCAGAATAGAGCTGGAAGGGGCATTTTAAAGACAATTTAAACCATAATTTAAAAAAAAATTTTTTAAGGACAGGACAAAGACAAGACAGGCAGAGCTGAAATTGAACACAACTCACTTAACAACTGCCTTGCTTAGCAACAGAAAGTGGTCATAAATCGAGGACTACCTGTACAGATGGGATGGGTGGGCAGAGTGACGTCAGGGAATCAGGATCAGAATAGAGCTGGAAGGGACTTTCGAGGTCTTCTAATCCAATTCCCTGCTCAAGCAGGAGACTCTATACCATTTCAGACAAGTGGCTGTCCAGTCTCTTCTTGAAAACTTCCAGTGATGGAGCACTCACAACTTCTGGTGGCAAGCTGTTCCACTAGTTAATTGTCCTTACTGTTAGAAAGTTTCTCCTTAATTCCAAGTTGCTTCTCTCCTTGATTAGTTTCCGTCCGTTGGTCAGCTATGCCAAGGCTACTGGAAGTCAGTTTGTGTTTTCAATGGTTCTGGCAACAATAATTTTCTCCTCTGAATGGAGTAATGACAAGGGAATAGAGGCACAGCATATGATGTATTCCCAAGGAGAAAAAGGCAAATTAATAGCTAACCAGGAATGTGTTAATCTGAGACTACATAGGTTTAGATAGATGCACTGGCTACCAGTGGTCCTCCGGATCCGCTTCAAGGTGCTGGTACTTACCTTTAAAGCCCTACATGGCTTAGGTCCGGGGTATTTGCAGGACCATCTCCTACCCGCCTCCCACCATCCTGTCCGCTCACACAGGGCTACCCTCCTCAGGGTACCGTCGACCAGACAATGTTGGCTGGCGATGTCCAGGGGTAGAGCGTTCTCTGTGGGCGCTCCTGCCCTCTGGAATGAGTTACCCACCGAGCTTTGGACGGCGCCTGACCTCCGCTCCTTCCGTCGAGACCTAAAGACTTGGCTGTTTCAACAAATGGGTTGATTCTGTTTCCTGGGTTTTATTATTTATTGTCGCTGTTTTAAATTGGTTTTAATTACGTTTCCTTTTATTATTGTATGTTTTTAACCTGTGTTCGCTGCCCTGAGTCCTTAGGGAGAAGGGCGGCATATAAATTTGTATAAATAAATAAATAAATAAATAAATAGGATCATAGGAACATATTTGGAACTTATTTTGGCAGTGTCATGCAGGAGAATTCACTAGAAAAATCAATTTTGTCAGGAAGATTAAGTGTAATGTGTTAATCCGAGACTATATAGTTTAGATAGGATCATAGGACATATTTGGAACTTATTTTGGCCGTGTCGTGCAAGAGAATTCACTAGAAAAATCAATTTTGTGGGGAAGATTAAGTGGTAAAAGGAAACCAGGCAGCCAGAGAAGATGAAGGCTGGACACCATCAAAGCTGACTTCAGCCACAGCATAGAACAACTCAAAGAAGTAATGCAAGATCAGAGGATATGGGGAGTCCTGGCCCAGAATATCACCAAAAGTCGGACACATTGAATGTATGACCGTTTTTTTTTGCCATGGTAAGTGAATCACTGCAATTGTTCAATGGTGCTTATGTGAATCCAGCTTCCTCCATTGACTTTGCTTGTCGGAAGCTGGCTGGGAAGGGTGCAAATGGTGATTCCATGACCTCAGGATATTGCAACCATCACAAATATATGCCCATTGCCAAGTACCCAAATTGGGATTGCTGTTCCTAAGTGATACAGTCATAAAGCATGACGTTACACGCCCACATCTCTTAGCAATGACAACTCCTGGCATGGAAACCCCAAGACATATGGGGGTCTTAAAGTTGGGTGCTGCAGTGGGATCTTTAGTGCCATCTAGTGGTCAATTGACCATTGACAGCTCTGACCTTCTAGGTAGGACTAGTTTCAGTGGAGAGAGTAAAGGGAGAAAGTGGGAAGTGTGAGAGGCCCAGGCTTTTTAAGAGCTGAGAAGAAAGTGCAATTCCTGAGATTATGATCCTAACATGGAGAACATGTAGGAGAAAGACTGTAGCAATCATATCTGCAACAGGAAGAGAGAGAAAAACCCCTTCCTGAGAAAGGCCTGGGACTTCTGGTTCCAGGAGCAGAAACTAGAAGTCCCTGCACCAAGCACTTCCTGTGAGATCTTGAGCCTAGTTGCAATAAAAATTAGAGTAACATGGAGCCTGCTGACCTCTGATTTAGCATGTTGTGGAAATCTGAATTAACCCACATTCTGGGTTTGCATGATGCACTGAGTGATAAATTTGAATCCTAATCCAATGGGCCAGCTTTGCACAATATACTGAGATACAACAAACCTCAAACTAGCCACTAAACATACCCTGATGTGTACAAATGTACCACTAGGTACCCCTCTGACTCTCTGAAGGGGTTTGTGCTTCCATGGAGCCTTGAAGTGGGTTCAGCCCATCCATCTTTCTTGTCCTGTATTCTGCTTTTGCTAAATACCCATAGATATGGTTCAGTGGGTTTTCAGGAGCACTGAAAATTCCATAAGACAGCAAGTCCATTGCTCCTTTTTTTTTTCTTCCTCTAGCCTTGTTTAGCTTCTTAAAATCACCAAAATGTTACTTCCAGCTCCATCAGGTGTAGGGCAGGTAAAAATGCTGGCTCAAAGCTCCAAAAGGTTGAAAAGAACAGTCAGCAATAATTTTTAGTGAAACTGAACTCTCTTCAGAGGCCCAAGAAGAGATTCGAGTCCCTCTCTAGAAATTTCTTAGGGAGTCTAGGGACTGGCCTTATAATATAAAGCTGATTGAAAGAGCTCTCCGAGCCATTTTATCTGCTAATTTCTCCTGCAGTGAAAGGGACACCATCAACCAATTTGGAAAAGTTACATCTCTGCAACAGCAGAAGACCTTAGAGGAATTTGGATAATAGTTTTGGTAGAATAAACAGTTTTTCTAGCTCTGTTCGAATGAGTTCTCTGTTTTTCGTGTTTATTTTCCTTCATTTCCTGCTGTTGATACTGCCTGCTTGTTAACCACTATGTTTTCTTGTGATTCTCCAAACAGAACGTATGTGACAAGAATGGGCTCGAAGAGAGACAAACATAACATTGAATAAAAGATACTAACAAGAAGGAAACTTGGCAACACTGTGAGTGATATCTGGAGATATCTGGGGTTGGGAGGTTGGAAGTGGAAGCTCTTGATAATGCTGTGACTATGTCCTTCAAGTGCACAAAAATGCTGAGTGCTTATAGGAGGAAAAAAACCCTATTTTAGAAGAGAAATTAATTGTTTCTTGCTTGGTGGCTGAACATTAGGACTTTAAAACAAAGTTCTATAATTTCTGAATCATACTGAGAGAGCAAATGAGCTACATAACCTCGGACATTACTTAAAGAGCTGTAAAATCAGAGTTATATCACCCCATACTCCAGAGGCTTTCTTGGAGCCTGAGGAGGGCGAAAACAGGCTTCCCCACTCTCTGGAGGCCCTCTGGAGGCTGGAAAAGTCCCATTTGCCAACTTCCAGCGGGCCCAGAAGGCCCGAAAATCAGATGTGCACGCCGGAGCTGAGGTAGGGCAACGCTTGCGTGCCCACCAATATGGCTCTGCGTGCCACCTGTGGCACGCGTGCCATAGTTTCGCCATCATGGGAATAGATAATAGAAAAGATGAGAAGGATAATACAGCCCTTCTAGGTGGTTTGACAGTATTGTGGGAATTAGTTGTTTAACAGAGCGATGGCATGGGGGAAAGAACTGTCTTTGTGTCTAGTTGTTTTGGCGTGCGATGCCCTATAGTGTCATCTTCAGGGAAGAAGTTGAAACAGTTTATGTCCAGGATGTAAGGGGTCTGTAGATATTCTCACAGCTCTCTTTATCGCTCGTGCAGCTCTTCAATGGAAGGCAGGCTGGTAGCAATTGCTTTTTTCTTCCACTGAAGTCTGTGTCTGTTCTTGTTTGGCCGCAGTGCCAAACCAGACAGTTATAAAGGTGCAAATGGCAGACTCAATCATTCCTCTAGAAATGTATCAGCAGTTCCTTGGACAGTCTGAGCTTTCTGAGTTGGTGCAGGAGGAACATGCTTTCTTGTGCTCCTTTGATGACATAATATCCAGCAATGTTGCAAGACCCAAACACAACCCATCACCTAACACCTGATAATTATCTGACAGGTTTCATGAAAGTTTACATGTATTGTTATCTCTTGCAGGATTATATCCAACATAAAATACCCTGAAAAAAAAATTGTATACTTTCTTTTGCAGCTCCAACAGCACAACTTTCTAATGGATTCCCAACATTCTTACGATTTGTTAGTGAAAGGCATTCAGTCCATCGATGTCACGGGAGATTTCAATCCTTGTAAACTTTTGCTCACAGGAGACCAAGCCCAGCCGGTGCTTAAGGATTCAAAGGGGCAAGTTCTCATAGCTGCAGCCCAATATGGGAAAGGCCGGATGGTGGTCATGGGGCATGAAGCCATGTTAAAGCTTCCCCAGTTCTTGCCGTTCATTAAAAATGCTCTGGATTGGCTCAAACCTTCCCCAGTGACAGTCATAGGAGTCCACAGAAGCTTGGATGACCTCTTTGAATTGCTCCTCAGTAGAGATATTAAAGTACGTCCGAATGCAACACTCAGGAACTTCCTTGGAGTATTCTGCAGAGATGCCTATGATGATGTGCAGGCGGATGACCTTGTGCAGTTCGTAGAAAGGGGTGGGGGTCTGCTCATTGGTGGCCAGGCCTGGCACTGGTCATCTCAACACGGGAAGGAGAAAGTTCTTGATCGTTTTCCTGGAAATTTGGTGACCGGTGTGGCTGGAGTGTATTTCACTGCCACTGTGGGAGAACATGGGATCTTTCCCGTCCCTGAAACAATATGGAGGGATCCTGTTATCATCCGGTAAGTATAATACTAACTCTTTATCTGCCTTTAATAATGCTGTCTGAGATTATATTGTTTACTCTGATCCTTATCCCAAGATTCTTGCACCTTTATGGATAAAAAAGGTAAAAGTTTCCCACTCCAGGGCGTGGTGCTCATATCCTTTTCTTGGCTGAGGGAGCTAGCTATGTTCAAAGACAATTTCCATGGTTATGTAGCCAGCATGGCTATATGTCAAAGGCACTGGAATGCTGACACTGAAGTGGTACCTCGCATTTGCATGCTTTCGAACTGATAGGTGGGCAGGAGCTAGAGCAAGGAACGGGAGTTCGCCCAATTTGGGGCACTCAGGTCTCAAACCCAGGCAGTCAGTTTTCCAGCTGAGAAGCTCAGCGACTTTAACCACTGAGTCATTGCATTCCCTTCCTCTATTACTTTTTGGGATAATCCCCCACAAAAACCTCACCCCACCATGGAAATGATTATGTATATAAAAATTATTTTAGCTTAACCTATCAGCTTGGTTGGGTCTTCTGATTCAGACAATCATTTGCTGGGCCAAAGAACTGAACACGAGGGCCACATTCAAAGTCTGAGTGCAGTGGGAGCATGGCCCAGTTGAGACAAAGGATCAACAGCCATTGAAGTACTTTCAGTATAGATTCCCAACATTTTCTCTCATTTCCCACAATTTCCTCTAGCAAATTCAAAGAGAGGTATAATTTTCACACTCTAATCAGACATTCTTGTGTTAGTAAATAATTACAGAATAGTCACTTTGGATTTTGATATCTGCATTTTCTAAATGTGCTTCAGCAGACAAAGGTAGGGCACCTCACTACCTCAGGAATAGAGTGTATTTAGAGTTGTCTGTCACAAGAGCTTTCTCCAGTAAATGAAAAATTAAATCTACAGGTTTACAGGTCTCTCTCTCTTTCTCTCTTTCAGATCAATGAATAGCCTGATCCAAAATGCTTACAATTCTCTATTGCGAGGCATTCAATCCATTGGTGTCACTGGAGATTTTATTCCCTGTGAACTTTTGCTCACTGGAGTCCAAGCCTTCCCTGTGCTTGTGGGTTCGAATGGGCAGGTTCTGATTGCTGCATCCCAATATGGGAAAGGCCGGATGGTGGTCACTGCCCATGAAGCCATGATACAGCTTCCCCAGTTCTTGCCGTTCATTAAAAATGCTCTGGATTGGCTCAGGCCTTCCCCAATGGCACTCATAGGTGTCCACAGAAGCCTGGATGCCCTCTCCAAGTTGCTCCTCAGTAGTGGTATTGAAGTTGATCCAGATGCAACACTTGGGGACTCCCTTGGAGTATTCTGCAGAGATGCCTACGATAGTGCACAGGCTGATGACCTTGTGCAGTTCATAAAAAAGGGTGGGGGTCTGCTCATTGGTGGCCAAGCCTGGCTCTGGTCACATCAACATGGGAAGGAGGCAGTCCTGGTTCGTTTTCCTGGAAATCTGGTGACTGGTGCAGCTGGAGTGTATTTCACTCCCAGGGAGGGAGAAAAAGGGATCTTCTCTATCCCTGAAAAAATACGAAATGATCCTAGTATCATTCAGTAAGTATAATTCTACCTCTTAATCCTCCTTTAATAATTTTACCGGGAAATGGTTTGTTTACTATAGTCCTTTCCTCAAGATTATCATGCCTATTGGTATAATTTCAAAAACAAAACCCCCTACCAAAGAAATGAATTTGCATATAAAGACTATTTTAGCCTAATCTATCATCTTGGTCAGGTCCTCTGATTCAGGCATTCATTTGATGTGCCAAAGAATCACATGATGGGAATAGACTCAAAGTCTGATTGCAAGGGGAAAATCATCTACCATAGTTAAGACAAAGGATCAACAACCACTGAAGCACTTTCAAAATAGTTTCCCAATATCTTCTCTCCTTGCCCACAATTTCCTCTACCAAATCGAAATATAGCTTTACTTTTAATCCTCCAATTAGATAACAAATTGTTGTTGTTATCAATATTAGTGTTAACAAATTATTTCAGTGCATTTTGATAGCTGTACTTTCTAAATCTGCTTCAACGGACAAGGTATCTTCATTGTCACATAACCTTAGTAATAAGAGTTTGTTCAGACTTGGCTTCTATATCATAATAGCCAGGGGCGGGATTCATCCGGTTCGCACCGGTTCACAAGTACCAATAGCTAACTTTCTGAGTAATTCAGCAAACCGGCTGTTGGAAGAAATCTCCTTCCAACAGCCTTTTGTTTTTCCCACTTTATGGGGTTAATCCTGTCAGGAAGGCAGGAAGGAAGCATTCTGGTGTGCCTCTGTGTATTGTTAATCCTGCTTATCTTTAGCATGTATTTTTTTTTTTTATTTGATTTATATGCCGCCCTTCTCCGGAGACTCAGGGCGGCTTACAGTGCGTTAAGCAATATTTCCCCCCTTTCTAATCTAATGATTGGTATTTAAGGCAGCTTTTGCAAGCAGCTTTTTGTATTTTTGTACAGGTAATCCTTGATTTACAACAGTTTGTTTAGTGATCATTCAAAGTTACAATGGCACTGAAAAAAGTGACTTATGACCATTTTTTTACACTTACGACTGTTGCAGCATCCCCATGCTCACGTGATCAAAATTCAGATGGTTGACAACTGTCTCACATTTATGACGATTGTAGTCTCCCAGGTCATGTGATTCCTTTTGCAACCTTCAGACAAGCAAAGTTGATGGGAAGGCCAGATTCAGTTAACAGCCGTGTTACTAACTTAACAACTGCAGTGATACACTTAACAAATGTGGCAAGTTGTGAAATGGGGCAAAATTCACTTAATAAATTTCTCACTTAGCAACATAAATTTTGGGCTCAATTGTGGTCATACGTTGAAGAGAAGCCAGGCGAGGCGAGGCTGGGTGTGACAAAGAGTGGCTAGGAGGGGAGGGGTCAGGCATGGCCCCTCCATGGCCAGGCATGGTGTGGAGAGGCCGGGTGAGGCGAAGGGCCCCTCGATGTGAGTGATGTTCAGTTGGCCACACCCACCCAGCCACATGACCACTCAGCCATACCTACCCAGCCGGTCATTAGGGTAGAGAACCAGTTGTTAAATTGTTTGAATCCCACCACTGATAATAGCTTTCTAGAGTACAAGGTAGTCCTTGAATTACAACCACAATTGAGGCCAAAATTTCTTTCTTTCTTTCTTTCTTTTTTTTTTTTTGAAATTTTTTAAATTTATTTTTAAAACATAAAACATAAAACAACATCTTTTTGGAGCAAGAGTTTGGCCTGGTATAACATAGATATAAATTCCCAATTTCAACAATTAACATCTTAAAACAAACAAAAATTAACAAAAATAACAACAGCAACAACAACAACAAAATCCCCAAATCTAAACCCAATTTTGTCATCCAATCTAACATCTTATTCCAACATTTAAGTTTTTATTTATGTAGTCGCCCTAATTCTTAAACTTCAAATCCAAACAGCACTTTATAATATTCATTTATCATTTTAAGCCATCAGTATTTCATGTATTTTCTGTACTTCAAAGACGCAAATCAAATCAATGTTTCTTTTAAAATACATCTAATAACCAATATAAAATATTTCATTCCTTTCTGAAAAACATTTTAAAGTCAATATCCGTTCTTCAAAAGTATCTCCTTCATTCCTCCTAGGTTTATTTTTGGCTGGATTGCAGCTTAGTTAGCTGGTTTCCAGAGATGCTTTCCTCCACTCCTAACCTTATTTATTGGCTGGATCACAGTTAGTTTTAACTGCTTCCAACATTTTCTCCCTCACTCCTCCAGGTTTATTTTTAACTGGATAACAACTTTTCAGCTGTTTTCCAGGGATGCTTTCCTCCACTCCTTACCTTATATTTAACTGGGTCACAGTTTAGCTTTAACTGCTCCCCAGTATGTCTCCTCTCTCCTCCTAGGTTTATTTTTGCTGGATCACAGCATAATATGCTATTTTCCAGGGATGCTTTCCTCCACTCCTTACCTTATATTTAACTGGGTCTCAGTTTAGCTTTAACTGGTCCCCAGCATTGAATTGAGGCCAAAATTTCTGTTGCTAAGTGAAACATATGTTAAGTGAGTTTGCTCCAGTTTAGAACTTTTCTTGCCAAAGTTGTTAAATGAATCAGTGCACTTGTTAAGATAGTAACATGGTTGTTAAATCTGGCTACCCTGTTAACTATGCTTGTCACAAGGTTGCATAAGGGGGTCCTATGACACCGCCCCTCCCCCCCAGGACATTGAACTGTCATAAATATGAACCACTTGCCAAGTATCTGAATTTTGGTCATGTGACCATGGACATGCTGCAGCGGTCATAAAACGTGAAAAACTGCCAAAAGTCACCTTTTTCAGTGCTGCTGTAACTTTGAATGGTCACTGAATGAACTGTTGTAGGTCGAGGACTACATGTATATGAAAAATGAAATGTGGAGATATTTCCCTTTCTTTCTCTCTTTCAGACCAACAAATAGCCTGATCCATATCCAATATGATTACAATTATCTATTGCAAGGCATTCAGTTCATCGATGTCACAGGAAATTTTAATCCTTGTGAACTTTTGCTCACAGGAGACCAAGCCTTCCCACTGCTTGTGGATTTGAATAGGCAGGTTCTCATTGCTGCAGCCCAATATGGGAAAGGCCGGATGGTGGTCACTGCCCATGAAGCCATGATACAGCTTCCCCAGTTCTTGCCGTTCATTAAAAATGCTCTGGACTGGCTCAAGTCTTCTCCAACGGCACTCATAGGAGTCCACAGAAGCCTGGATGCCCTCTCCAAGTTGCTCCTCAGTAGTGGTATTGAAGTTGATCCAGATGCAACACTTGGGGACTCCCTTGGAGTATTCTGCAGAGATGCCTACGATAGTGCGCAGGCTGATGACCTTGTGCAATTCGTAAAGAGAGGTGGTGGACTGCTCATTGGTGGCCAAGCTTGGCACTGGTCATCTGAACATGGGAAGGAGGGAGTCCTGGCTCAATTTCCTGGAAACTTGGTCACTGGTGTCGCTGGAGTGTATTTCACTGCCAAGAAGGGACAAAATGGGATCTTCTCTGTCCCTGAAAAAGTATGGAATGATCCCAGCACCACCCAGTAAGTATAATTCTACCTATTTATCTGCCTTTAATAATCCTATCTGCAAATAGCTTGTTTACTATGATTGTTGTCCCAAGATTCTCACATCTTTCAGCAAAGTCCCCAAAGCAAAATAAGAGCAAGGAAATGTTTATGCATATAAAAAATATTTTAGCCTAATGATCTATCAGCTTAGTCAGGTCCTCCGATTCAGATATATATTTGCTGTGCCAAAGAATCTCACAAGGGGGCTGGAATCAAAGCGTGATTGTAAAGGGAATATCATCCAGTTAAGACAAAGGATCAACTGCCACTGAAGTACTTTCAGTACAGATTCCCAACTTTTTTTCTCTCATTTTCTTCCATTTCCTCTGCCAATTTCAAATACAGGTAACATTTGAACACTCTAATCAGACAGATAGAGAAATCAAACCTTCTTGTGTGAATAAATAGTTTCAGAATAGTTGCAGTGCCAATAAAGGAGATTCAAATAAATTTGTAGCTGAAGGTTGAAATTAGGGACCCTTGGTGCTCTTAGGTTGGTGGTTTTCTTGCAGATATTTCGTTACCCAACCTGGGTAACATTAGAATGCAAGATTGCAGGCTAATTCTGCTGACTGCCAAGGGTTCAATCCTCAGCAGTTCAAGATTGACTCAGCTTTCCATCCTTCTGAGGTCTGTAAAATGAGGACCCAGGTTGTTGGGGGCAAAAGGCTGACTCTGTAAACCAGTTAGAGAAAACTGTAAAGTACTATGAAGCGGTATATAAGTCTAAGTGCCATTGCTATCATCAATACTTGATCGCAGTGCGTTTTGATACCTGTTTTTTCTAAATATGCTTCAGTAGACAAGGAAAGGTAGGGCATTTTCAAAGCTACATTCCCTCAGTAATAGAACTTGTTCAAATCTGTACCACAAAAGATTTCGACAGTACAGGAAAAAGTAAATATGGAGGAGACATCTCATTCTCTTTCTCTCTTTCAGACCAACAAATAGCTCCATCAACATCCAATATGATTACAAATCTCTGTTGCAAGGTATTCAGTTCATTGATGTCACGGGACTTTTCATTCCTTGTGAACTTTTGCTCACAGGAGACCGAGCCTTCCCATTGCTTGTAGGTTCGAATGGGCAGGTTCTGATTGCTGCATCCCAATATGGGAAAGGACGGATGGTGGTCACTGCGAATGAAGCCATGATACAGCTTCAGCAGTTCTTGCCGTTCATTAAAAATGCTTTGGACTGGCTCAAGTCTTCTCCAACTGAACTCATAGGAGTCCACAGAAGCCTGGATGCCCTCTCCAAATTGCTCCTCAGTAATGGCATTAAAGTTCATCCAGATGCAACACTTGGGGACTCTCCTGGGGTCTTCTGCAGAGATGCCTACGAGAGTGCGCAGGCTGATGACCTTGTGCAATTCGTAAAGAGAGGTGGTGGACTGCTTATTGGTGGCCAAGCTTGGCACTGGTCATCTGAACATGGGAAGGAGGCAGTCCTGGTTCGTTTTCCTGGAAACCTGGTGACCAGTGTGGCTGGAGTGTATTTCACTGGCAATGTGGGAGAAAATGGTGTTTTCTCTGTGTCTGAAAAAATTCCCAGGATTCCCCTGATCACTGAGTAAGTATTACTCCACTGCTTTTTTTTTAATGGTTATTAATCCTATATACAATCATGGATTTTTGGTGAATTTAGAAGCAAGGTCTTTATTGTTGTTTTTCATTTTTGAATCTTTTAGTTTATCCAAAGAAGGTTAAAGTGTACAATGTTAAAATATTTTAAAAAATTAATAAAAAACAAAAGGGACATTCAAAAGAGAAAGTGTCTTTCAAAAAGAAAATAAAGATTAACATATATACACATAGCATCCTCCCGAGTTGAATGCTGATTAGTATAATACAGCAATGTTGGTTTCCCACTCCTTGCGAACAGAATTTTAAACTATTAAACTACCGGTACTAAATCTACTTAAAAATTTTAGCCTGTCATCTATAAACTATATTAATAACAAAATAGGGTACTGGTCTTTATCCTTCAAATTGAAAGACTTTGCCAGTATCACATGTGAGGACTGTATAAACAAGGTTCATGCACCCAGTTTAACTGAGTGGACTGGAGAAAATACATCCAGCCTTATTGCCTTTCTTAATCATTTGACAGAAACTGACGTGATGCATTTATTCTGGAATCATCTGTATAGATTCTTTAAATTCTACCTGAACAAAACCTATTCAAATTTAAAACAAAATGTATACTTCTTTCCTGTCAGAAATGGCAAACATACTTAAGATAGTGTTAAAAAATTTAAAGTACCACGGCAGATAGCTCATTAAGAAGACAGATTATTTTGATTTTATGGAAAATCTGAGTCTTCCATCCAATTATTCCAAGGAAATACTATCAGCAAACCTTGTCTTTAATTTGGGAAAAAAAGTTCTTAGGTTCATGATTTATAAAAAAACAACTTCCTCCTCCTCCTCCTCCTCCTCCTCCCCCCCTCCTCCTCCTCCTCTCCCTCCAAGTGCTGATACTGATATTGATATTACAGTCCGATTTTGTCAAGCCACAATTACTGTTGTTTTTTTTTAAAGGCATGGATTAGACATAGAAAGGGATTTACTGATTCTTCTGAATGGAGTGGACAGACTCAACGTAAAGGGTCTACTCTTACCATCTCCCTTGCTTGTCCATGGGGCCTTGGCATTTCCAATTGGCATAAGTGATAAATACCATTGCTTCCTGGCAGCTGCATACTACGGTCGAGGCCGCATTATAGTTGCCGGTCGTGAAGGCTTCCTCGAAATGCCATCAATGATATGTTTCTTCCTCAATGTCATCAATTGGCTTTCTGCTGGAACTGTAAGAAAGCTGGGCATTGGAAACAGTTTAGAGGGACTTTACTCCATGTTAGACGAAGCATTGATTCCCTGTGAGCTAACCAACTTTAAGGAAGGCCTAGGCATATACTGTTGTACGGTCTACGATATCAAAGATACGGAAGGCATCCATGAATTTGTTTCTGAAGGAGGAGGACTCCTAATTGGGGGTCAGTCTTGGTATTGGACTTCTGTGAATCCTGACTCCAGTGCTATTGCAGAATATCCAGGAAATAAGATCCTGAATAAGTTTGGAATTGGGATTGTTGGAAAATTTATTGAACTATATGAAAACAGCCTTCCTGTCGGAGAGGTCAGCGAAATAGCTTCCACTTATCATTTCCGGAAAGCATTATTGCTGTTCAAGAAACATATCCGAAATGAGAAGGGTCTAAAACCACCATATTCCTTCTGGCTCCAGAAGTTGGTGCAAGACATTACGATATTCCTTGAGATCCCAGCTATGAACTCCCGTCCTTTCTCTTCAGTTCATGAAGAAGTTCTAGAGTTTGTTCAAATTAAAGGGATTCCTGCAATCACTGTACATAACTCAGTCCATGCCTATACAGACCATGCCACCTTACTTCAAATAGCTTCTGTGCTCTATAACATTCTACCAGAGTTTCAAGACTTAGTACCCAGCCTGATGCCAAATGATCCAAACTCTTATCCAATAGCACCTCCTCAAAACATTCAAGTAAATGGAAGCAATGCAGGTAGGAAATGTTCTTAATTTTGAATGTAATGGTTATTATTTCAGAGTAATGGCCTATGTGTGCAGGACATTCTTTTTTATCAAGCAATATTCAGTACTGTTTCAAATCTTCCAATACTAGACTATTCATGAGGAAGACAAGCATGTAAGTTAACTGAGAAAAGCTGTTTGATTGAAGGATAAAATGTAAGCTAAATCTACAAGAAGATCCAAATGATCAAATTAGTTATGCTATTTTGCAGTTAGAGTTGATTTTAGAGAAGACATCCTTTCATTTTGATAACACAAAGAACATTTAGCACAGTGGTTCTCAACCTTCCTAATGCCGCGACCCTTTAATACAGTTCCTCATGTTGTGGTGACCCCCAACCAGGGGTGGGTTCTAAATTTTTTTACTACCGGTTCTGTGGGCGTGGCTTATTTTGTGGGCATGGCTTGGAGGTCATGTGACTGGGTGGGCGTGGCTAGCTGGTCATGTGACCGGGTGGCCATGGCTATGTGTATAGGGACTACTCAGAGGGCTGAAAAAAGTCATTTCTGACAGGTCCTCGCAGTTTTGACTGGTCCTCACACTTATGACCATCCTCACATTTATGCCTGTGCAGCATTCTTAAAAACCATGTCACTCATTTCACAACTGCTTCTCTTCAACATGGTATAAGATAGGGCAAAAAATGTAAAATGTGAGGACAGTCGTAAATTCGAGGACTGGTCAAAAGTGCGAGGACCAGTCAAAAATAACTTTTTCAGCCCTCTGAGTAGTCCCTGTGCACAAAAGGACTACCCAGAGGGCTGAAAAAAGTCATTTCTGACAAGTCCTCGCACTTTTGACCGGTCTTCGCAGTTATGACTGGTCATCATTTATGCCCATTGTACCATTGTACCATTCTTAACAACCGTGTCACTCACTTCACAACTGCTTCTCTTCACCATGGTGACAAGATAGGGCAAAAACGTAAATTGTGAGGACAGTCTTAAGTTTGAGGACTGGTCAAAAGTGCGAGGACCAGTCAAAAATAACTTTTTCAGCCCTCTGAGTAGTCCATATGCATAAAAGGATACAGCAATAGAGAGGGATGAAGGAAGGGAAGGGAAATTAGAGTAGGAGTGAAGTAAGAGAGGGAGGAAGAGAGGAGGAGAAGGAGAAAGAAAGAGGAAGTAGGGAGAAGAAGAAGAGGGGGGGGAAGAGAAAGTAAGTAAGAAAGAAAAGACAGAGGTGGTAGGTTTGAGGAGAAAGATTGCTGTACAATAAAAAAGATGAAAGGGAAGAAAGCCAACCCCAAACAAATATTAAGATATTAAGATAAAGAATGAATTGTTAAACTTTAAAGAATAAAAGAGAACAAATAGGAATAAATAGCAATAATTAGAAACACACATACAAACATACAACGTATTTTCTTTGAACAGAGTATTTGGCCGGTTCACAAATTTAAACAGTTGTAGGAGGTTAGCACCCACCCCTTTCCTAGAAGAATGAAATATTTTGGGAAATATTAAAAAGGCAGAATATTATATTTCCCTGGATGAGAAATGGAGAAGCATATTTTACAGACAAAGCAGCTCCCACCTTCCTGCCCCCCACCCTTTGTTAATGGGCCAGAGGCAGAAAGTCAATCCTTTGTCAAAGGACATTTGCAATACAATAGCAACAGAAACTAACACAATGGGCCCCATCAAGCCATGTGATCCTGTCCACCATTAAACCATCTTTCCAAGCAGTCTCCATGTTTCCAGTGTCTTTTTCCCCACTTGGAGCAGAACCCAGAAGGATATTTCTTCCAACACAGTATTTCAATTAAATTTACAATTTCTATATTTCCTTTTTACCATATTTATTCCTCATCTATTTTTTAAAAAAACCAATATTACCCTTCATCCTCATCTCTAATCTTAATCAAATTCAATTTTTCCCTTCTATTCTATATTATACCCCTTCCCATTGTCATCTATTTTTATATCCATCCTCACATTGGTTAATTATGTAATTATGTAATACAGTTGTTTAATACAAATTCAACATTTTAATATAAATCAATTAGTTATATAACTATCTTTTTTGTATATTAATCAATATGAACATGAATATTCCAATTATTTCCATGCCATCCAATTTCTTACAAATCAATTATATTTACCAATAATAAGAAACCAAATAATTTCCCCCATATATTCCTCCAAACCACAACTTAACCATTTCTGCTTTCAACACAATATATAATTAATAGTATCTCAATTATTACAATTCCCTAGTTAAATTGAGATTTTTTTCTTTTGTGTTTTAAAATTTTGAACTCTCCTCTTTTGCCCTAAATTTCCCATTGTTTGCAGTTTTGCACCCACCTTTTTTGGTGAGGAAAAAGAAAAAGAAAATCTCTCTCTGCCTCATTTTGTCACGTTGCAGCAAAGACTCTTCTTTACTTTCAATTTCGCTTTTCAGCATAGCTAGGGGAAAAAAAAATTGCTCCAGGAATTTACCTCTTTGCAGCTAGCTCTTTGAAGCCCCGCGGCAAAAATTTAAAGTTTTTTTCCCTCTAGCCATCAGTTGGGACTCAGGAGGCAGCAATAGATTGGGAGTGGGCGGGGTAAAAGAACGGCGACCGGGCGATCCAACAGAGGCAGAGGTGAGGGTGAATGAAGTCGTGTGGGGGGCAAGAGAGGGCTTTGGCGACCCCTGTGAAATGGCCGTTCGACCCCCAAAGGGGTCGCGACCCCCAGGTTGAGAAACGCTGATTTAGCATATCCTTGACATAGTTACTAGCATCAAATCTCAAGAATGCAGACTTTTCAGTAATCTTATGTATACAAACATGAACCTCTGAAAGATTTTATACTTTGCTTTTAGGAAATGAAGCTTGGAGAAGCACTGGCATGTATGCTCCTCCAGCATCAACGGTCACTTTATTATTCCCAGCCTCCACCCTCAGTGCAAAATTGCAGGTAACATTAGTTCTAAATTACACATCATGATATATAGTTAAGATTCTACAGGTCTTATATACACTAAGATAAGACCCAGCCTCCCCAACCCCCATGCCTTTTGTTCCCTTCCTCTCCATCTTTGTCAGTTTTAAGCTAATTGAATGTTACTATTTATTGTTTTAATGTTTTTTTTAATTAGTTTTTAAAGATTGGGAGCCTCTTATCAGTTTATAAAGATTGTGTTCAGATTTCTACTCCATCAAAATGTTTATGCAGAATTTTCAATTTCAGGATAATAGTTTCCTTTCAGATTGCAAGAGATAAATACAATCATACATTGTGATTCCTGCAGCACTAAAACAGTTTATTCTCCAGCTTTAGATCCACATCTCCAACCTATCAACATGACAGGGCAAAACAAAGATGGTAGCAGGAGAAAAGATCATATTGGGTTTTACCATGTCCCATACCCAGGCCTGAATCCTGGTTGAGAGAGATTCAGATAATTGGCTTCGGCCAAGGTTCTTGGAAGCTGCTGCACAAACACCTTTTCAAGCATCTTCCCCAGAAAGGGGAGGTTAAATACCAGATGAAAATTGCCATGTATATTGGAGGCCAGTGAGGGAGTGAACCAAGGCCTCCTTAAGAGGTAAAGGAACAACACCCCTAACTTAAGGAAGAATTTGTCAGTACTGGAACCCTGTGACTAAAGTGACCAAAGCTTCAGATGCATTTTGCAGCAGACCAGAAAGAACAACCCCTGGCTCTCTCTGAAACCCATCTGAGTCCATCAGCTTTCCCCAGAGGCCTTCTGTGAAGGATAGAGAAGGTCCTCTTTGTAGTCTTCAGACCACACTTGAACCTGCAGCTGTTCTCTGGTAATGCCATGGATCATTACAGGCTGCACTCAGATTAGCAAATCTTCAGCATTTCCCAGTTCATCTCAGGTTCATCTATCAGCCCTGATCTTTACAACATCAACCAGAAAACGTCAACAGCCATTACTGCCAAAATCCGTCTTTAGTTGCTGGCCAACACCACCTCCCTTTTCCAGTTCCCCCCATTCAAGTCAACTTTTGTTTTTTTAAATTTCTGCCTTTTTTGTCCTCTGGGAAATCTTCCTATGAGAAATTCCTTTCCTCCCATCTGCTCAGGCTCTTATCAGTTAAATACAGCCAACTGAATTTGGCTGAATGCCTCCACGACTGGGGGCAAAAGAGACTAATCTCCTCCTGGTTGTTGGTGACTTATTTCAGATAGTTCCTGTCCAATGTCTTGGCCATGTTACAAGTTCTTTTTTGAACAACCAATAACTAGATTGACTCAGATTCAATAGACACAAAGTACCAGAAACTTGGATTGCATTTTTGTAACTCAACTCAGTGACTGGGGAAGTGGAAGAGGTTATTTATATTTTCCAAGAACAAAGGTTGCAAAAAAAGATTAAAATATAACTTAATTATAAAACAGAATAAATATAATGCTTTCAAGTACAGCAGAAATTAATCTCAAGTCACCAAAAAAAGTGTATTTTAACTATTTTCTATAGGCTCTTTATCTACTCTACATTCTTTAATATTCAATTTTAGTATGTTTTTGTATATTTATCTTATTTGTCTTCAGTTTGTTAATTGCTGACTTCTCTATTGTTGCTGTCTTAATCCCTCCATTATCACTCTCTGTAGCCAGTGGTGGGTTTCAAATTTTTTCACTACCGGTTCTGTGGGCGTGGCATGGCATGGCTTGGTGGGTGTGGCTTGGTGGGCGTGGCATGGCATGGCTTGGTGGGCGTGGCAGGGGAAGAATACTGTAAAATTTCCATTCCCACCCCACTCCAGGGGAAGGATACTGTAAAATCTCCATTCCCTCCCCAATCCAGGAGAAGGTTACTGCAAAATCCTCATTTCCTCCCGATCAGCTGGGACTTGGGAGGCAGACAAAAGATGGGGGCGGGGCCAGTCAGAATTTTTAGCACCGGTTCTCCGAACTACTCAAAATTTCCGCTACCAGTTCTCCAGAACTGGTCAGAACCTGCTGAAACCCACCTCTGCTGTAGACCAACCATTCGATCTGCCTTTGATAATTTTTTTTAGTTTCTGCTTCCTATTTTGTTCACATTTGGACTTCTCCACCTTTTCTTTCCAGGGCTTCTGGACTCTTTGCTTCTTCCCAGTTTTATTTCCACCTGAAGGAAACCTTTCCCTCATGCAGCTCTGAGAGAAATGCTTATTTCTCCCCTAGTTTCCTCAGCTGTTGCCACCTTTTCTTTTGACTCTCCTCATCAGGGCTGCCTACCTTTTAGTTTGCCTATTGATTTGACTCCTGAGCTTTGGCTTGGTTTATTCAGTCCCCACAAGGCCTGTGACGGCAAAGCTCCAGCCAGCCATCTTGCCTTTCCTCCTTCCCACCTCCTGCTTGACACTTCTGTTTAATTGGCTCCTGGGTTGTCTTTGGCTTCATCTTTTCTCCTTATTTGCTTCTGGATTTGGCTTCATCTTTTCTCCTTATATTCATCTGAATTGGCTTCATCTTTACTCCTTATTTGCTTCTGGACTGGCTTCTTGACTTATCTCTTCTGAATCTTTGTTCCTTCTGAGGGAAATGGCTTGAAGAACACTTTCTTCTTCATGCAGTTCTGAGGGAAGGAAAAATGCATTTTTCTCCCCAGTTTCTTCAATTGCTCCTTCCTGCTGCCTATCTCTTAATGTGCCTGTTTATTTGACTCCTGGCTTTGGCTTGGGTTATTCAGCCATGTCCTCAAGAGGCCTGTGACAGAAGAGCTCCAGGCAGCCATCTTGTCTTCCCTCCTTCTATAGCCTCAGGCCCAGCACTTCTGTTTGTTTGGCCACTGGCTCATCTTTGGCTTCATCTTTTCTCCTTATTTGGTCCTGGATGGGCTTCTTAATTCTTCTCTTTTTCTTATCAATCTTAGCTCTATCTGAGGGAAAAGGCTTGAAAAAATGTTTCCTTCATGCCAGATCCTGAGGGAAGAAAAAATAAAAAACACCCCTCTCTTCCACCTCAGATTCCTCAGTTACAGCCTCCTTCCTGGTTGCCTCTCCTCACCACAGCAGTCTATCTTTTAATTTGCCTTTTTATTTGACTCCTGAGCTTTGGCTCTGTTTATTAGGCCTTGTCTTCATGAGTCCTTTGGCTGCAGAGTTCTTAGGCATCCATCTTGACTTCCTTCTCCAGAATGATTCTGTTTGATTGGTCACTGCTGTTTGATTGGCAGCTCGGTTGTCCCGACAATGGGGGAGGGCTTAGAAGGAGCACAGGTGCTTCTCACCTGCTCGGATATATTGGCCTTCCACAGGCCTTAAATAAATAAACGGTGCCCTCCATCCTAAAAGCACCTAAAGCATCCTAAAAGCATCCTAAAAAGCACTACTTCTTTTTCATTTCAGAAATATACTTGGAGATGCTCAAATATTGATGTGTGCATGAAATACAAGAAAAAGACTATTATTTATTAGAATTATATTCTGTATATGTGTATTTATAATTTTAGATATAATTTATATTTTATATTAAATATAGCCAGTATTAGTGTAATAAACTACAAGACTATTAGTTTTGTTATAGAATATATAATACAGTAATCCGGTAATTTAGTATTTAGTATGAATATAGTAGAATTAAATTATACATATAAATTTTATATATAATTTATCATTAATATCAGTGTTTCTTAGGCTTGAAAAATTTAAAATGTGTGGGCTTCAACTCCCAGAATTACCCAGCCAGTCATTCTGAGGAATCTGGAGGTTTAAATCTACACTTTAAGGTTGATAAGGTTGAGAAATTCTGATTTATTTACTGCTTCTAATCAGAATCAGCGTTAAGGGACTGCCACAAAAAAGAATGGATTGGCCTATTCTCCAAAGAACCTGAAGGCAGCATAAGAAGCCATGGATTGAAACTTATAAAGGAGAAAACCAACCTAGAACTAAGGAAAATTTTCTTGACAGTTAGAACAATGAATCAGTGGAACAACTTGCCTCCAGAAGTTGTAGGTGCTTCAACACTGGAGGTCTTAAAGAAAAGATTGGACAACAATTTGTCTGGAATGGCATACGGTTTCCTGCTTGAGCAGGCGGTTGAACCAGAGGACTTATAAGGTCCCTTCCAATTCTCTTACTCTGTGATTCAATTTCATACATGCTTAAAACACACACACCATCATAGCAATAGCACTTAGACTATATACCATTCACAGTGCTTTACGGCCCTCTCAAATGGTTTACAGAGTCAGTGTATTGTCCCCAACAATCTGGGTCCTCATTTTACTGACTTTAGAAAGAAGGAAGGCTGAGTCAACCTTAATTTTATTACAGGTAGTCCTCCATTTTTGTTGTGGTTAGGTAGTCCTAACCACAATTGAGCTAAGCAAGACAGTTGTTAAGTGAGTTTTGCCCCATTTTACAACTTTTCTTGCCACATTTGTTAAGCGAATCACTGTAATCATTAAGTTAGTAATATGGTTGTTAAGTGAATCTGGCTTCCCCGTTGACTTTGCTTGTCAGAAGTTTGCAAAAGGGGACCACATGACCCCTGGACACTGCAACTGTCATAAATATGAACCAGTTGTCAAACATCTGAATGTAAATCACATGACCATGGGGATACTGAAATGGTCATAAGTATGAAAAATGGTCATAAGTCACTTTTTTCAGTGCCGTTCTAACTTCACATAGTCACTAAACTAATGGTTGTAAACTGAGAACTACCAGTGTGAAGCCACTTTTCTTTAGAGTGACTTGTTCATTTCAATGGAGATTGTTTTCCACAGGTGCAGATTGGGTGCCATATTGATGATTTAGTCAAAGACACGAGATGGAGGCGTCCTCCAGTAGTAACAAGGCGATTTAAGGTGCAGACTGCGAAGATGGAGATCTCCAGTTTGTGGGGAGGCCTCCTGTACATCATTGTACCAGAGAACTCTTCATTGGGCTACTTCTCTGTCACCATCGAAGGGGCCACCCAGGCTCCTTATTTCAAGCATGGTAACACAACTCCTTCCTCAATTTATGAAGTTCAAATTTTTTCTACTTTGCTGATTGATTCTGATCTGGCTCCAAAAGTCAGGAGTCCATCTCCATTTAGAAACCAGCAGAAAAATGGCTACCCTTTAGTATCCATTAGTATTTCAGAGAAATGTTGCACACCAAGTATTTACAAGAAGTAAGCTGCACCACTGTATATCTTCTGTTTAAATATCATCCTGAAATGGTAGTGGAGTCAAGAAAGGCTCATAATTAAACTAGGAGGCTACAGAATATTGTATTCAAGACTTTTGGAGGCTTACCTATTATTATTATTATTTTATTTCTTTATGCAGTCTATATTTTAATAAATCTCAGTGCTCTGCCATGAAATATTGGGAATAGTGAAATCAATTCATTTGGATATCTTGGAAAGTTCATTTTAAAAATGAATCCTAAACAATTGCTATCACTATCCTAAACAATTGCTCTTTCTATGGCAAAAATGTTAGAAATTCTATTTATATATAGCACCACAGGGCAAAGAGTACAGTCACCATGTGATTTACTGCTCTTTACACTGTAACAGGAAACGTGAAACTCTACTTAGAACAAAAGATCAGGGAGTATATACTATAGACCCAAACTTGCTGGATGAATGCTACTGTAGTTGTTGCATAAAAATACATTCCAACAATGAACTCCAACAACAACAACAAAAAAACCCCAACATTTCTCAGGACAATGGATGCAGCAGAGATTTGTTAAAGAAAACCAGTGGAAAATAAGGGTGAAATTCCTGCACCTTTTTGCCTTTTCTTGGAATGTATCATTGACCACACCTTTCAAAATATGGTGATCAGGAAAGCATTTTTCTTTCTCCAACCTATTTTTGGTTTAAGAATATAATGTACCCAGGTGTTTTGTTTTAAATGTTTCTTTAGGTGGAACCAGCCTCCAGAATTGGCAAAATACTATCCGCCACTATCCCGCTCCCTGGGCGGAACTAGAAACCGAAAATATCATCCTCACACTGCCGTCAGATGCTGTACGTAATCACGATGCAATCCCTTTCCTGCTCCAGACCTGGGATCAGATGATGAGCGCCATCACCCACTTAGCAGCCATCTCTCCTATTTTTCCCAGACCAGAGAGGATTGTGGCAGATGTTCAAATATCAGAAAGCAAGTATAAACTAGTTCACATCACACTCTGTAGAGGAAAACTATAAAATATTATTGGTCTGCTTTCCTAATTTACAGGTCAAAATGTCTTTTAATAGAACTATTGTTCTAATACTATTGTTCTAATGCTATAATGTCTAGTTTAGTGAAAAGAAGGACATGATAGCAGAGTTCCAATATCTCAGGGGCTGCCACAAAGAAGAGGGAGTCAAACTATTCTTCAAAGCACCTGAGGGTAGAACAAGACGCAACGAGTGGAAACTAATCAAGGAGAGAAGCAATTTAGAACTAAGGAGAAATTTCCTGAAAGTTAGAACAATTAATAAGTGGAACAACTTGCCTCCAGAAGTTGTGGGTGCTCCAACACTGGAAATTTTAAAGAAAATGTTGGATAACCATTTGTCTGAAGAGGTGTAGGGTTTCCTGCCTGGGCAGGGGGTTGGACTAAAAGACCTCCAAAGTCCCTTCCAACTTTGTTATTCTATTCTATTCTATTCTATTCTATTCTATCAGTGTTCCAATATCTGAGGGGTTGCTACAAAGAGGAAGGAATCAACCTATTCTCCAAAACACCTGAAGGCAGGACAAGAAGCAATGGATGGAAACTAATCAAGGAGAGAAGAAACCTTGAACTAAGGGGAAATTTGTTTAGTTAGAACAATTAGTTAGTGCAGGGATGGGCCACTGTGGCCCTTTTACAACCTGTGGACTTCAACTCCCAGAATTCCTGAGACAGACAAGCTGTCTCAGGAATTCTGGGAGTTGAAGTCCACAGGTTGTAAAAGGGCCACAGCTGCCCACCCCTGAGTTAGTGGAACAGCTTACCTGTGGAAGTTGTGGGTGCTCCAACACTTGAGGTGGTCAAGAAGAGATTGGACAGCCATTTGTTTGAAGTGGTATAGAGTCTCTTGCTTGATCCGGGGGGGAGGGGGGCTGGGTGGTGGTGGACAAGAAGACCTCCAAAGTCCCTTCCAACTCTGTTACTCTGTTAATGCTTGCACAATTCTCCAGCACACCGCAGCAAACTGACAGGTGCACCATGGGATATTTTACTACTTAATGAATGGAATTAAAAGGACTGTTTATTAAACTTTGGTAAAATATTTTACAGTTCCCATGTGAGTTTGCTTTGATTCCTTGGGTTGCAGCACATCATTTTGGAATTACTAAGACAACTTGTTGCAGAACAATTCCATGCCGAATAACTCAATGCCTTAAATGTTATCTGGTCACTGTTTCTTTGACATTACTTCCATTGACAAGAGTGGAAATTATTATTATTATTATTATTATTATTATTATTATTATTATTATTATTTATTCAATTTATATACCGCCCTTCTCCTAGTGGACTCAGGGCGGTGCACAGCCAAAACTAAAATACATAACAATACAAAATTTAAAATTAATTAAAAGAATTATATACTTTGGCCCGAATTAAAACAGTACGAATTAAAACCCATTAACAAATTAAAACTAAACAATTAATAACCATTAAAAACTAAAAAAGGGGGGCGGGGTTCACGCCAGCCCTGCTTGCTGGAAAAGAAAAGTTTTTAGGGCACGGCGAAAGACCCGAAGATCCGATATCCTTCTTATCTCCGGGGGCAAATCGTTCCAGAGGGCGGGGGCTGCCACAGAGAAGGCCCTCCCCCTGGGGGTTGCCAGCCGACATTGCCTGGCCGACGGCACCCTGAGGAGTCCCTCTCTGTGGGAGCGTACTGGACGGTGGAAGGCTATCGGCGGCAGAAGGCGGTCCCGCAAGTACCCAGGTCCTATGCCATGGAGCGCTTTAAAGGTGGTAACCAACACCTTGAAGCGCACCCGGAAGACCACTGGAAGCCAATGCAGCTCACGCAGGAGAGGTGTCACATGGGAGCGACCCCTCGCTCCCATAATCCCCTGCGCGGCCGCATTCTGCACCAGTTGGAGCCTCCGAGTACTCCTCAAGGGGAGCCCCATGTAGAGAGCATTGCAGTAGTCCAGGCGGGAAGTGACGAGTGCCTGAGTGACTTTGCGTAAGGAATCCCTGAGTGACTGTGCGTAAGGAAATAATATCGAAGAAACAGTGACAGACAATCCTCATGGTATTGTCCACGGCACATTGTCCCGTGGCGACTTGGCCGTGGTGAGTTGACACTGGAGAGATGGGCACGGTGCGTTGGCTGCAACGAGTTGTCCTAGACCAGGGGTGTCAAACTCAATCATGTCACTTGACGTATTGTGACATATCGCGATGTTTTTTGCCTTTGCAGAGCCTAGACCTGTGATGGCGAACCTATGGCACGAGTGCCACAGGTGGCACACGGGGCCATATCTGTGGGCACCCGAGCGTTGCCCTAGCTCAGCTCCAGCGCGCATGCGTGTGCTGGCCAGCTGATTTTCGGGCCTTCTGGGCCCACCGGAAGGGAAATGGGTCGTTTCCGGCCTCCAGAGGGATGGGGAAGGCTGTTTTCGCCCTCCCCAGGCTCCAAGAAAACCTCTGGAGCCTGGGGAGGGTGAAAAACAGGCCTATCGGGCCCACCGTGCCATTGCACCCCAAAAGCAGGGGTCGCAGGGATGTGTGTGTCACGCGTGCATGCGTGGGAGCGGGGCACATTGAATTATTGGTGTGGGCAAGCATGTGCGCGACATCCCTGCGCCAGGGGTGGGTTTTAAATTTTTTTACTACCGGTTCTGTGGGCGTGGGTTATTTTGTGGGCGTGGCTTGGAGGTTATGTGACTGGGTGGGCGTGGCTAGCTGGTCATGTAACTGGGTGGGCGTGGTTATGTGTATAGGGACTACTATAGGGCTGAAAAAAGTCATTTCTGACAGGTCCTCGCAGTTTTGACTGGTCCTCACACTTATGACCATCCTCACATTTATGCCTGTGCAGCATTCTTAACAACCATGTCACTCATTTCACAACTGCTTCTCTTCAACATGGTATAAGATAGGGCAAAAAACGTAAAATGTGAGGAGAGTCGTAAGTTGGAAGACTGGTCAAAAGTGCGAGGACCAGTCAAAAATAACTTTTTCAGCCCTCTGAGTAGTCCATATGCACAAAAGGACTACCCAGAGGGCTGAAAAAAGTCATTTCTGACTGGTCCTCGCACTTTTGACTGGTCCTCACACTTATGACCATCCTCACATTTATGCCCGTGCAGCATTCTTAACAACCATGTCACTCATTTCACAACTGCTTCTCTTCACCATGGTGACAAGATAGGGCAAAAACATAAATTGTGAGGACAGTCGTAAATTTGAGGACTGGTCAAAAGTGCGAGGACCAGTCAAAAATAACTTTTTCAGCCCTCTGAGTAGTCCATATGCATAAAAGGATACAGCAATAGAGAGGGATGAAGGAAGGGAAGAGAAATTAGAGTAGGAGTGAGGGTAAGAGAGGGAGGAAGAGAGGAGGAGAAGGAGAAAGGAAGAGGAAGTAGGGAGGAGAAGAAGGGGGGAATAGAAAGTAAGAAGGAAAGAAAAGAGAGAGGTGGTAGGTTTGAGGAGAAAGATTGCTGTACAATAAAAAAGATGAAAGGGAAGAAAGCCAACCCCAAACAAATATAAAGATATTAAGATAAAGAATGAATTGTTAAACTTTAAAGAATAAAAGAGAACAAATATGAATAAATAGCAATAATTAGAAACACACATACAAACATACAATGTATTTTCTTTGAACAGAGTATTTGGCCGGTTCACAAATTTAAACAGTGTTTAGTCATTTCAATTAAATTTACAATTTCTATATTTCCTTTTTGCCATATTTATTCCTCATCTATTTTTTAAAAAAACCAATATTACCCTTCATCCTCATCTCTAATCTTAATCAAATTCATTTTTTCCCTTCTATTCTATATTATACCCCTTCCCATTGTCATCTATTTTTATATCCATCCTCACATTGGTTAATTATGTAATATTACAATTGTTTAATACAAATTCAACATTTTAATATAAATCAATTAGTTATATAACTATCTTTTTTGTATATTAATTAATATGAACATGAATATTCCAATTATTTCCATGCAATCCAATTTCTTACAAATCAATCAATTATATTTACCAATAATAAGAAACCAAATAATTTCCCCCATATATTCCTCCAAACCACAACTTAACCATTTCTGCTTTCAACACAATATACAATTAATAGTATCTCAATTATTACAATTCCCTAGTTAAATTGAGATTTTTTTCTTTTGTGTTTTAAAATCTTGAACTCTCCTCTTTTGCCCTAAATTTCCCATTGTTTGCAGTTTTGCACCCACCTTTTTTGGTGAGGAAAAAGAAAAAGAAAATCTCTCTCTGCCTCATTTTGTCACATTGCAGCAAAGACCCTGCTTTACTTTCAGTTTTGTTTTTTCAGCATAGCTAGGGGGAAAAAAATCTGTTGTTGCAGCTAGCAACAACAGAGCTCTGTGCAAAACAGCTGAGAGCAAATCAGCTGAGAGTCGGGAGGCCGATCTAATCAACTTGTGCTAATTAACCTATGCTGAAGCTGTAAGGGGCTGTTTTTTCTATTTTTGCAGGCACCGGTCTACTCATTTGTTTTCTTTTAACACTGATCAGCTTTAGGGCGGTCCTTTGAAGGCAAGAGTTTAAACAGTTTTTTCCCCTCTAGCCATCAGTTGGGACTCAGGAGGCAGCAATAGATTGGGAGTGGGCGGGGTAAGCGACCGGCAACTGGGCCGGGAACCGGTTCGGGGGCATGGCCAGCCAATCTTATTACCGGTTCTCCGAACTATTAAAATTTTTTACTACCGGTTCTTGCGATCCGGTGCGAACCGGGAGCAACCCACCACGGCCCTGCGCTCCCCTCACTTTTGGCACGTGATGGCTAAACCTAGTTTGTGGGGGCAATAAGCTGACTTTGTATAAATATACAAAAGTATGAAGGCTATTGCTTAGCGCATTGTAAGCCGCCCTGAGTCTCCGGAGAAGGGCGGCATATAAATCAAATTAAAAAAAAAAAAAAAAAGGTTAGCCATCCCTAGACACTCCATCTAATTATATCCCTCCCAACTTTTTTCTTAGATTCGGTGCGCACTGGCTATCCAATCATAATTAATCTGGGGTCCGTGCCTGCCTTCATAAATGTGCAAGATTTCTACGCCAAAGGAATTTGGGACCCAATCTACAAACTGGGTTATAACCAGCAGAAAAATGGGTGGGAATTCCCACCCCATACCAAGGAAGCCACCTGCAACCTCTGGCCCGTTTACGTCAATGAGACCGTGCTGAACATCTCCCGAGAAATAGCCCACTCAGAGCTTCAACCGCATACAAGAAAGGAGAGGATTGAGAACTACATTAGAAATGGAGCTAATCTGAACGACTTTGAAGAGTTCACTGCATTTGAACCCTATTTGCAGGTAAGAAAGCTGTTCATGGGAGGGCACTGGTGTAATACAGGTAGTCCTTGACTTACAACAGTTCGTTTAGTGACTATGGCATTGAAAAAAGTGACTGATAACTGTTTTTTACACTTATGACAGTTGTAGCATCCCCATGGTCCGTTGATGAAGATTCGGACGCTTGGCAACTGATTCATATTTATGATGGTTGCAGTGTCCTGGGATCATGTGATCCTCTTTTGTGACCTTCTGAGAAGCAAAGTCAATGGGGGAGGTCAGATTCACTTAACAACCATGTTACTAACTTAACAACTGCACTGATTTACTTAAGAACTATGGCAAGCAAGGTCGTAAAATGGGGTCAAACTAACTTAACAAATGTCTTGCTTAGCAACATGAATCTGGGGTGCAATTGTGGCCGTAAATTGAGGGCTACCTCGATGTAGAATTGCAGGGTTGGGGGGGGGAATCTTCTTCAAAAAGGGGAAGAAAATACTATCAGTCGAGGTCAATTCCTGCAATCAGTTAAAAATGGGTTTGTGACTTCTCTGTTTTTATACTGGTGGCCTTTGATCTAGACAACCTAAGGTCATATAACATTAAAAAAATAATGTAATCACCGAGGTATAGAGCACGGATCTATACAATTACCTATTTTTCTTCAGCTGCAGGAAGCCTTTGGGTGGGACCCCTACATTCAAATTTTAGCAAAATACCAAACCATGAGGAACATCCCATATGAGAAAAATGACAAGATGAACCTGTGGGTAGAAACCTTCTCTCAGGAAGTCAACAGAAACCTGGCTCCTTTCTTCAAAACCTGGGGGTGGCCCATTGAGGACACTGTCTCCGAGAATCTGGCCTCAATCTACCCTGCTTGGGCTGAGGATCCCATGATAGAGTACCGGCACTCTTGAAGGACCAGAAGCCAAGATCATCCTCATCAGAGAAGACTGGGGGAGCAATTGGGGGGATGTTATACTCAAAAGTGAGCCTGATAAAATGAATGAACTTGGAAGAGTCTTCAGCTGCAGCATCAAGTCTTCTTCAGCTGTTGCCTTTGGAGGATTTCAGCTCCACTATTTGGTTGCTACCTTTTTTTTAAAAAAAAAAATCTCTTTCTTAGGAGAATCCTGATTCTTGTAATTTTTAGAAGTGAAGATTTTAAGCCCACATGAAAACACAAATACACATGTCTCACGCACACAATTCAACCATATTTTAATCACCGATCCAATATGGGGAAATGGGACTAGTAAACTATTTGCTAGCCCTATCAGTCTAAAAGTAAAGAGAACCTCATGTTTTCATTATAACCTCTAATATTCTATTAAGTTTAGTTCCCAAATTGGCATTTCATGTATTTTTCACAAAGAACTCTCTCTAATGATGTCACACATTTGAAATGATGATTATTTTTTTAAAGTTTTTTTTAATTTTTTTAAAACATAAATGATGATTATTAAGCTCTTTGCTGCTCTAAATAAAAATTGTGTCTATTAAAAATATAACTGTTTGATCTTTCTCAGTGGCTTGTGCCCTCCCATTTACTTGATCCCTTCTTGAGTGGATTCTGGATTTTATCATGTTAGTTTACTTTTTTCCAGTTTCTGCTATCGTTTTGACTATGTATGAAATAAATTTTTGAATGCTTCCTTCTTTGTGATTTTAGAAAACTTGGAAACCCTATTTTATAAAAGGTTTAATTGTTTTAAAATGTCTCCATGGGTGACAGCCCTTGAATGAACTTCTCTAGGGTCAGAAACTAAGCAGAGTAATAAGAACATGGATGGGAGACCACCAGCAAAGCCCAGGGCTGTGCAAATCTAGTAAATCAAATGACTATTCTGGAGCATGCTCTTAAAACAAAGGTAAAAAATTCAAATGGCTAAAAGGTGAAGAAGGTAAAGGGAATGCCCTCAAACCACCAGCTCTCCCCAGGACTGAATCACATTCTTAGACTTCCATGCTAATTGGCAGGTCTAGTGGCTAAGACGCTGAGCTTGTCGATCAGAAGGTCAGCAGTTCAGCGGTTCGAATCCCTAGTGCCGCATAATGGGGTGAACTCCCGTTACTTGTTCCAGCTTTTGCCAACCTAGCAGTTCGAAAGCACATAAAAAAATGCAAGTAGAAAAATAGGGACCACCTTTGGTGTGAAGTTAACAGTGTTCCGTGTGCCTTTGGCGTTGAGTCATGCTGGCCACATGACCACGGAGACATCTTCGGACAGGGCTGGCTCTTTGGCTTTGAAATGAACATAAGCCCTAGAGTCAGTAAAGACTAGCACCTATGTGCAAAGGGAACCTTTACCTTTACCTTTAACTCTCTTCTGGAAAACCTTTGCATCCTTCAGTTAGCCATGCCTGGAGGGCAAACACTTTTTTAAATTAAATACAAGAGCAGAGTGTCATGTTCTTTCACAGCAAAATGACGGCTAGGGTAGATGTCATATGGTTACAGTAACAGAGTTTGAAGGGACCTTGGAGGTCATGTAGTCCAACCCCCTGCTCACGCAGGAGACCTATACTAGGGATTCGAACCGACAAACTGCCTGCTTGCCACGAACAAGCTCAGTGTCTTAGCCACTGAGCCACCTACTCAGTGGGCACAACCTAATAATGTTTGGGGGGGGGGGTGCCCACTGTCATTTTAGGTGTCCTGGTGGCTGAGTATGTTGGTCATCTCCCTGTGAATAAGGAAATCATAAGTTGTCCCTGCAATTCAAAGCAACGGGCTGCACATGGAGAGGAAGTCATTGAAAAAAAAAAGAAATGTTTTCTTACTTCATCTCCTCCCCCTTGAAATTGGCAGCTGACATTTGGGAGGCTTACTCAGACTTCTCTGGAAGAAAGAGTCAGACTTCTCTGGAAGAAAAAAAAAAAAGCAAGAGAGGAAACAATAACTTTTCACTTATGAGGAAGGAAAGCATGTTAAGCAGAGGAGGCTATTCTATTCTATACCACATTTTTGGTATTGTCCATTACAGCGTAAGCCTTTTCGGTCTATGTGCCATGCCACGATACACAGAGAAAAGCTGAATTTGTCTTGCAAAGGCTCACACACACTGCTTTCCTCATTTGCCCCGTCTTCCACTGGGTGATACACACAACACAGCATGAGAGAGGAGCATAATCCCCACATTCAGAGGCAACGCATATGCACCTCCTCTGATTAGACCCACACAGGTAAAATGCACACACACACTGATTAGCCTTTCAAGAGAAAGAACAGAAATGTAGCCACAAAAAAGCATATGCAACATATTAGTTCATTACACAAGGGGAATATATAGAGGTTTCCTGTGGCCACTGCTGTTAAAGGGTTTAGAGAGAATTCCAGAAACCCATCATCATCATCATCTTTTAATGACCCCATAATCCCTTGCGGGGTAGAGTCTGGACAACTGAATGGAACTAGTAGAGTGTTTTAATGGCCAGATGCCCTTCCTGTCACCAATCCGGAGTTTTGTTCAACAGATTTATTCTCAGTGTGCCCAGAGAGAGAAATATCTGCCTCTACTTGGGATCGAACTCACAGCCTCCTGTGAGGTGACAGCTCCACCTCTAGGCCACCGCACCACTCCAGAATTCCAGAAATCCATGTTCTGCATGAATTACCTACCTTGTTTATATCTTAAATATTTTGTGTGAGTGACACCAGGAATCATTCTAACACCTAAACAATAGGGACATCTGCATTTGCTGAATTCAGTGATGGTTACTAGATAGTGACACAAAACAGAAACTTAAAGAGGTCACAATAGGCCATTGATTGATTGATTTGTTAAGAACGTATTAGGTAATTTATATAATTATAAGCATGAATCGAATACATAAAATAGATAAGTTCTCACAATCACCAGAAAATCAATTATAAGTGTCTCCTACAAGGAACTTAATTTTCCACTGATTTCTCTCTGCCTCAGATTCATCTAGTCTTCTTTACAGACAATGAATCTCATTAGCCAGAAGTGGATTCAGTTTGTACGGGGATATGAACAAACATTAAATATTTCATATGTTGATTTTCAGCCAATGTCCTTTGCCCTGAGCCTCCAAGGTGGGGGGATATTCCACAGGTAGGGGCTACTGCAGAATAGGCATTCTGGCCAGTGGATACTCTTTGGTTGATGGGACCAACAGCATGCCAGTCTGCTAGATCAAATTGGACAGGTACAGACTTTCGGAAAGAGGCAGCCCCTCAAGCAAGGGTGGGATTCTACCAGTTCAGACCAGTTCAGGCAAACCGGTAGCTCCAACGATCAGCTGGGTTCACTCTGATGATCAGGTGGGCCTGCCCACCTACCCCTGCACTTTACTGACTTCTCTGTATCATCTTCTCAGCTGATTCACGCGGCAGAGCGGATTGCCACGCCTCAGCTGTGTTACTCCCCAGCAGTAATGCAGAAGGTAAATTTTCGTAAAATTGAGCACGCACGCACACGTGCAGAGCGCACGCCCAAAGCGCACAATCACCAAACCAGTTGTTAAACTGGCAGGATCCCACCAATGCCCTCAAGTAATCTGTTCCCAAGGCATACAGGGCTGTAAAGGTGACAACAGCACCCTGAATTCCATCTGAAAACATGCCAGTAACCAATGCAGCCCATTGAGTAGTGGTGGTATTATCTGTGTTGTATATTTGGCACCATTTACCACTCGCACTACTAGATTCTGCACCAGTTGAAGTTTCCGAATGTTCTTTAGGGGCAGCCCCATGTAGACTGTGTTGCAGTCGTCTGAATGAAAGGTTACAAGGGCATAAGCGACTGAGTAGAGCCTTTTGGTCCATAAAGGGACACAACTGATATATAATATGAAGCTGTGCCAAGGCCTTTCTAACCATGGCTGCTATTTGCTCTTCGAGCGGGAGCCGTGATTCTAGGAGGATCCCCAGATTGTGCACTGAATCTGTCCGGGATAGTGCAACCCCATCCAGAACTAAAGATGGAAGAATCTTATCTCCAGAGGGTCCAAATAACTACAGATACTCGGTCTTGCTGGGATTGAGTCAGAGCCTGTTTCACTCTATCCAATCCCCAACATCCTTCAGACACTGGGATAGGACATTCACCCCATCACTCAAGGGGCCCAGGTTAGAGATATAAAGCTGGGTGTCATCAGCGTACTGATGATATTTCATCCAAAACAACAGACAACCTCACCCTGCGGCCTCATGTAAATGTTAAATAGAAGGGGAGAGGGAATCGAACCCTGAGGCACCCTACAATGTAGGAGCTGTGAGCTGGATCTCACTCCCTCAATCAACACTAAGTGGACTGATTGTGGAGATAGGAGGAAAGCCAGCACAATAAAGTATTGTCTGTTCTCAGTCCTGGAAACTGGCTCAGGAAAATACCACAATCAATTAGAGTAAAATCAAAACAGTAATGGAAAGTTTGCTAAGGATCAAGACAGAAATCCTGTCTTTGGATTTCAAAACAGTTCTGTGGAAATCTGAACTCCGGGCTTCTCCTTTGCATTTTGAAACACTCTTCTCCATTTGTTCCAGTTAATAAAATGAACGTGTCATCCACCCACAATATTCATTCCAACAGTCTATAAATAATGTTCCCAGGAATGCTTAGCCTCACTTTACAGGAAGGCACTTGAAAGACTCACACCTAAGTTGCAAGAGCTTCTGAGAAGGTAAGCTAAATCATTCATATTTAAATCAAAATGCAGAGCATTGTATTCTTTTCTAACAAACTGCCTCATAAATAATCTTTTTCCAGAATTTTTCTTGGTATCAATCAATGAGTCGTACTATTTTGTAGTTATCTGGGCGTTTGCCCTTCTGTGTTTTTGAAGATAGAAACATTTGCCTTTTGCAATCATTGATCATCTTTGACTTCTCAACAAGGGACTCTAAGGTAACATCCATCCGAATGAAAAAAAAAATCTGTTGGAAAATGAGCACAGCCAGTAGTTTAGAAAACGACATAGCTGTACAATAATGTCCAGCAATACTGCAAGAAAAATCACAGCCCACCACTGGATACCACATAGGTATCTGAA